ACACCAGTTAGTATAAGCATTGTCTCGGTCGAAATTCGAAGGAGCATCTAATGAGTACAAGTCTGGAGTGTTACCGCTGTACCAAACTGCTAGGCAAAACTCAACCAGGCAATAAATCTTCGCCTTATTTTTTCATGGTCCTACTTTCACATTTTGCGGATTATGGAAAACGAGAATACGACGTTTGAAACATGAATAGTGAACACAGGAGGTAGAAGAAAATGTAACTGCTTCTTTTTAATTTCTGTTGTGATTTTATAGAGTTTGTTCATGGATATATAACCTTTATGCCCCAAGGAAGTAAATGCATTTATAATCAGAACAAAAGTTGAAAACTTGAGATAGATCTATAAAGAACTAAGGCAAAATCTTTCATATCTAAATTACGTGTTTTGTGACATTTCTCTAGAAGGTTGATAATGCTGTAGATCATGAAGTTCTCCGAATATCTAGGAATATCCGAGGCCACAAACTAAACATCAAAAAACCATCAAGGAAATAACAAAACTCATGTCAAGAGACATGCCAATAAAGTTCAAGCCGTACCGCCACAAGGCATGTATCACATTAAAACAAGAAACGAAGATACGATATATTGAAATGAATAAATATTTATGCATTAAAGTGAATAAAATTACATATTGCTTGTTCAGAATTTGGGACATGGAAATATACGAAGACTAAAAGATGAAGTGTGGACAGGGTTGAGCCTAATTCATAGAAAGCAGAAGAAGAAAAAAAGTAGGAGTGGAGGTAGAACAGATAAGTTATCAGAAAGGGAATTATGGTATGTCTATAGAGGGACAGAAGCAACTGAAACTGTATTCGTACGAGACGAAATAGAAGCTGAAATACATACATATATGTGAGCAAAATACTGACATCTATACGGTAAGTAGTTTATAAGAAACAATACTCTTAAGTATATCTACTTACACAATTACTCAACAGGCATTGATCATGCACTTAAAGCAAAACATTTTAACTAAGAAAATGGCACAGATTTAACTTTTTACTTATAGACATCATGCTCTGAAATGTTAAGTTTGGTACTCAGTACAACCTAGCGCACTGATTCACAAGCACTACTCAGCGCCTGAGGGTATAACTGGGCCACCCTGTTTCTGGGGGATATAAAAATGGGGAGCTGACACTCCAGGTTTGGGGAGTCTCGAATTTGAGACAGTAAAATATTGTCATGAGTCCCGCGGGACTCGGGACTCGAGAATGACTGCACTGGTGAGGACCAACAGCAATTGTAAACGGCACACCCGTCCTCTCGTCAGAGAGGGCGCACATATCAACAAACTCGCAAATGTCAGAAGTCTTGTGCCCCAGATAGGGCTTCACACCAAGACAGGCTGGCCGACTGATCGTCGGTCGTAACATAACTCTGACTTTGATTTTCACCTGAGTTGTGACTTGAGTCAGTTGAGAGTTGCCGTTGTGAAAAATGAGAAACTGGTAGCTGAGGTCGGTGAAAGTTCGAGAACTCAGGAGAAGGGGAACGTCAGCTGTTGAAAGCCGCTACCAAGCAACGGTTATTAGAGACTGAGAAAACTTTACGTGTGCTGTACTTACAGTGATCTTTAAAGTGTGGAACTCAGTGAGGGTGCCGTAGTTATTTGTAGTTACGAGTTGTTTAAGAGTTCAATTAGTCTGTTTACCAATCCAAACCCCGTCTATCGTCACCTATCACGTGACAGTATAAATAATGAAGGCGTCGCCAAATAACCTATGAAAAAAGATCTAATGAAACGAAGGTTGTGTATCTAAGCACAACACTCTTTCAGGGATGCAATGATTCAAAGATGTTAGTATATAAACGTGTAATTTTTTCTTCCTCTGCTGACAAGTGAATTTGGTGATTTAACTCGTTTTTCCTGGCCGCCAAAGTTAATGAACGAAAGGCGAAGCAAAAGAAGCTGTATCAGATAGAAACCTCGGGTTAGGAATGCGATCATTTTGGATAGCAGTATGTGGGAACCCTAAACATATGTATTGTACCGTTTATGACAATGACCGCGAGATGGGCGAATAAACAACAATGTTATGGGAACCGATTCTAGGCAACGGATCGGTAAACGCGTTCCTGCAGCAACAAATATGCACTCAATAACAGAGTTACCGTTGGAAACGGTGTTTTCTACTCTGTCCATGAAAGGGGTTATAAAGAAGGCAATTGGGGCGACCCAGTTAGTTGAGAGTTGAGTTCTGCGAAGGAGGCTGAGAAGAGATGGCAGTTTAGTTGTTGAATGTTAACCAGCGGGTAATGGTGTGACCATACAAGTTGAAGAATCTCCATTGTTGAAAGCTGTTACCAAGAACCCACTAGTGAAGACACTGCAGTTCAGAGAAACGTGGCGTGTGAAGTGTGGAAACAAAACCCCGTCTATTGCCACGCAAAGAAACACGTGACAGTATGATACTTCGATCATCACTTTGTACATATATATGTCAAGTCAGTAACAACAAATTTGTATATGTATTTCTGTTTTGTTACTTTCAAGGGCAGCAGTGTGGATGTGCACTTTCGCTATTGTATTTCCCCTGCTACGCCCATTTTGTGGGGAGACTTGCAATATATTCACTCTACGTTCTATATGCTGAGGTCTTCATAGATGCATTACCAAGGTATGAATTATGTAAATAATTGTTTTCACTAAGATTAAGCTTAGTACAGAATGTATCTGTTAAGCACAGGGACAACTTTACCTTTTGCAGAATGCATCCATGTGTCCGAGGAACTTGTTCTCTCCATAATCAGGGTAGAAGAGTGAACTTTTCCCCCCGCTTTACCCACTTTTCTATTATGAAGGCGGCTGTAACAGATTCATCCGAAACGTCAATACCTGTCTATCAAATTACACATCACACCCTACAAGATCACATTTTAATGTTGACCTTCGTAAGAAAGTCAAATTTGAACCGCTTTTTATTGCTGGAATAATTCAGCACCATCCGCGCGCTCAACTAGAGTTCGGAGATGTGTGTCACTTTTGGGTGTAAATGTGTATATTCCAAATGATTTTTTTCTCACATCTCACTGGTTTCCATGTCAGTTTACTGCCGATGTAGCTAGTCACTAGAATGCAGTGCAAAATCATGACATAAAGATAGTAAACAGATCCTTCGAAAATGTGGCACGGTTCAGATATTTAGGAACGAAAGTGACAAAACAAAATTTGATTCAGGAGGAAATTAAGAGGAGACTGAATTCGGGCAATGCTTGCTACCATTCAGTCCAGAATCTTTTGTTTCCTCCTCTGTTGTCTAAAAAAGTAAAAATTTGAATATACAAAACTATAATTTTGCCTGTGGTTTTGTATGGGTGTGAAACTTGGTCTCTGGCAAGGGAGGAAGATAAACTGAAGGTGTTGAGAACAGGGTGCTGAGGAAAATATTTGGACCGTAAAGGGATGACGTGACAAGAGGCCGGAGAAAATTGCATAATGAGGAGCTTCATAATTTGTACTTTTCGCCAAGTATAATTAGAATGATCAACTCAAAGAATATGAAATGGACAGCGTATGTAGCAAGAAGAAATAAAGAGACTATTAGGAAAACAAAGACCTAGGTGGGTGGATAATATTAAAATGATTCTTAGAGCGATAGGATGGGGTATTATGGACTGGATTGATCTAGTTCAGGATAGGGACCAGTGGAGGGCTCTTGTGAACAGGGAAGTGAACACTGGGCTCCATAAATGCTGGGAAATTCTTGAGTAACTGCAAAAATGACAGCTTCTCAAGAAGGGCTCAGCTCCATGGAGTTAGTATACCTTGCAGAGAGGCAATTAAAACGTATTTCTCCTTCTTATCCAGGAGCCAATAAATGCTCGCTCAGTTCACCAATCAGATACAAATTTTATCTTCCAAATATTTCTTCACATGATAAACCGCGCCTACCCAAGTCACTGCAATTGCTTCTCACCAAACTTCTGGCCGTCACGTGACATACGGACCGTAAAGTACTGCTCCTTTATAACGCATATACAAGTCAACATTACATTTTTTTTTTACAGAACCATTAGCTAAGATTTCTCTACTCGCAGGTCTTGAATTGTCATTACTGACGGACAAACAAAAAACCGGTTTGTTGACCCATGTTAGTATGTATAAATATCACATATTGAAACAGGTTTCATATGTGAAACACGATGAACTCATGCTTTGTAAAACAACATTTGAAAATGTTGAGATTTGAAGTATTAATAGCTATAAATACGAGCAGTACTACCTTCTACAACTTCCCACCGTGGCGGCCTGGGTTCGATCCCGGGTCTGGTCAAGCGGGATTTGTGGTGGACAAAGTGGCGCTGGGGCAGGTTTTCTCCGAGTACTTCGGTTTCCCCTGCCAATCTTCATTCCACCAACTGCTCCACAATCACCCTCACCTATCATCTGGGGCTGGTACAATAGGCCAGAATTGGCCGCAGTAAAAGGGATTTAGTCCCACCCCACTAGCAAAAAAAAAAAACTCTTGTAGAATATTATACCACGTAGTCCGGCATAGGACATTTCGGATGAAAGTAGTTTTTTTATATCTCCTATATATATATATTTTTTTTTGCAATCTGTAAGCAGTTACAATAAGCAAAAGTAGGATCATACAGTATTGACATGTAGGAGGCTACTCATTAGTAGACAACTTTCGTATAATAATCAATACAGATTATTTATGTCTGCAGGAGTAGGACTTACATCTAACTACATCTACAACCTTGATCTAGCTTATATACTAAATATAATGCTTAGAATCTGCCCGGCAGATCATTTGGCGCCAAGCGTTTAAGTCTTCTGTTCCGAATCGGCTGGCTCATGACATCTATTGCTAGTGCGTTTGGATGCCTGTTAAGTCTGTTACTATTTTAACATTAAGTTGTTTTATTTCTACTTTGACTGTAGTCATACCAAGGTCATTCCGGATGACGTTGTTGGGCACATACCAGGGGGCACTGGTTATCATGCGAAGTACCTTTGACTGGTAGCGTTCTTCGATGTTTGAGTTTGAGCTCGTTCCCCACAGTTGGGTTCCATACGTCCAGATGGGCTTCAGCATGATTTTGTAAACCAATAGCGTCCATTTGTCTATAGCCTCTAATTTGCAACACTTGTTTTACACTTCAATATATTCTTTAACATTACACCGCATCAGCACTAGTAAAGACAACACCACACGCCGAGGAGGAAACACAAGCCAGGAGAAAGTGAGTACAAAAAATAAACAAACACAACATAATAATACTAATGATAATAGCAATAATATTAATAATAACAAAGAAAAAACAACAATAATATAGGAATGTATAAATTACAGATAACAAACGCGAGGAACAAGCTGCCGGGGAAAACATTTTAATATATTTTACGGAAGTGACGACACCCTGAGTGAAGGGAAACAACAAATTATAAAAGAATTTTATCTCGTTTTAATCAAAGGAGGACTGCAGCGTGTGGTTTTTAAAATGAATTGGAACAGCGAAACAGTGTAGCAGTTTAAACAAGGTCTTGATTGAATATCTGTAATAAAACACCTGAAGATCGCCTTTTGAGGCCGAAACATGTAGTGTTAATGTTAAGGAATATATTGAAGTGTAAAACAAGTGTTGCAAATTAGAGGCTATAGACAAACGGACACTAATGTGAACAATTGCAACGGGATGCTGAAATACAGAATTGTAAACCAATAGTTTATTGTCAAGTGTCAGCTTGGAGTTTCTTCCTATTAACCAGTATAGTTTGGTGAGTTTTAGGCCTAGTTGTTTCCTTTTAGTGTAAACATGTTCGTGCCAAGTCAGCCTTCTGTCAAGATGCATCCCAAGATATTTAGCATCTTCTGCTTGGTAGAGGTGGTGGTTGTTTAGATGGACAGACGGGCAGGTCTCTTTCCTGATGGTAAACGTAACATGTACTGATTTCACTTCGTTGGGTTTTATTCTCCATTTAATAAGCTATTGTTAAATTTTGTCCAAGTTGGTCTGAAGAATCTGGGACGCCGTTTGCGGGTTTTCGTGCAAGGCCACTATGGCGGTATCGCCGGCGAATGTTGCTGTTAGCACGTTCTGTTCGGTGGGTAGTTCAGCTGTATAATATGGGTCCTAAGACACTGCCTTGGGGAACTCCGGATAGATTGGGTAGAGGTTTGTGTGCTCGTCTTGCTGTTTAACCAGGAAGTATCTATATTGTAGGTAAGATTTGAGTATAAGAAAATAATTGAGGGGGGGGGCAGTTTCCTGAGTTTATACAGTATTCCAGCGTGCCAGACTTTATCGAACGCTTGTGTGATGTCCAGAAATGCTGCTGAGCACTACCTGTTGTCTTCTAGGTCTTGTCTATTCTTCTTACTGACTCTATGGATTTGTTTTATTGTTGCGTGTTTTTGTCTGAACCCAAATTCTTGGTCAGGAATGAGGTTGTTTTCGTTGAGGAGTGGTCTCAACCTTGCTAGAAGTAGTTTTTCAAAAACTTTTGAGAGAACAGGTAATAGGCTGATGGACCTGTACGATTTTTGGTCTTCTGGTGGTTTACTTGGTAGGATGAAAGTAGTGCCTCAATCTTCAGGGCCAGAAAGGCAAGCAATAGTCATAATTTTGCTTACTTCTTGCTGGCTGCTAAAGTATGACAAAGTAATTCTTACAGAATTACAAAAAATGAAAATATCTAACTCTGATATCAGTTATGGCAAGCACCTTGCACTAATTTGGACACGCGGTAGCGTATTTGGTTGAGGCACTACGCTACAAGCCGGAAGGTCGCTGGTTTGAGTCTCTATGAGGTGGATTCATTCAATTGACCTAATCTTTGCAGCCGTACTATGACCCTGGGGTCGATTCAGCCTCTAACAGAAATGAGAACCAGGAATCTTCCTGGGGGTAAAGCTTGGTCGGCAGGGGCGTAAGGCTGACAAACTTACCGCCGTCTGTGTGCCGATTCTCTAGAAAATGTGGGAACCTCGACGTCTCACGACACTATGGGCGCCATGGCCTGTTACAGGGATAGATTTTGTACAATTTTTAGAAATATTTTTTTCGTTCCGATAAATATCTATCAAGTTACGCTCGAGAGCCGAGCAGAAACTCTTGCAGATCTTAATGTAAAATGTCCGGTAATGTCCGATTTTAAGAAAACTGGAATACTTTAATACAGTTTATTAATACGAAATTAATACGAAATTGCATAAAAATACTTTCAGATATTCTGAAGGTGTTACATGCGTATGGCATGACAGACATATACAGACATGTACATGGTGAAGCGAACAGAACAATTTTCTAAAGTGCCTGGGAGGGGATATAATACAACTTTGAGTAAAGTGTCCTCCAAAAGGAATGCTATCATTTTAAATTACTGTAATTATGTTAATTATTATTTGAAAACGATTTTGTATATTCCAAAACATAGAAAAACTCCCCAAGTTTCATACATGTTCTTTACAATCCCCCAATATATGCACTCGCGTCACACGGCACACATCCAACTGATGTCTGTTTCTTCCCAGAATCGCTGCAACGTATCCGTTGTTGCTCCTCCCAAAGCAGCCACAATTCCATTCTGCAGTTCCTGCAGATTCCAAATTCCTGGGCAATGGTGGCACGTAGACAGTGTCTTTCACATAGCCCCACAAAAAGAAATCGCAGAGTGTCAGGTCCGGAGATCTGGGTGGCCACGAGAGCAATGGATTTTCATTGGGCCCATGGCGTCGGATCCATCGCTGAGGAAGCGCATGATTCAAAACTTCGTGAACCACCCTATGAAAGTGAGGCGGAGCCCCACTTGCTGGAAGATGCAGTCACCAGAATCTTGATAATAATTAACACAATTACAGTATATTATATTTAAGCATCCTGTTACATTCCATACATGCAATTACAGTAATTTAAAATGGTAGCATTCTTTTTGGAAATCCCTGTATATAATTTCTTTCTTTCCGGGTTCCGATTAATAATACTAACAATGTACCTTTTTTAATTTATCATAATAGATGCCGACTTCAAGTTTGCACCTCACACTAAAGGTTGTGGTCAGATTGCTGACTGTCTACTGGTTGCTGACATGCACTTCCTGTTCTCAAAATAACTTCGTAAGTTCCGGTATTGGACTTATCGAATTTCCAACATGTCTTCAAGAGAATACAATTGAACTCGATCTCTCTAATAACAGTATTACGATAGTTGATAGAGATGATTTGAGCAAACTGAAGAAAGTGAAAGTAATCGATTTGAGCTATAATAAGATAAAAAGTGTACATGAGGATGCGTTTGAACACGTAGGTGACTTGGAAATGCTGAATCTGTCACATAACTGCATTTTTAATTTGTCATCAAATATATTTCACAGTAACAAGAAACTCACAAAAGTTCATCTAAATAATAACAAGTTACAAGTTTCGAGAAATTTTCGGTGGAAAGAGCACATACTGCAATCAACATCTGTGACTCATCTAGACGTATCTTTTTGCAACATCGCTGCCATTTCAAGTAAAACTTTCAGTGGTCTGCCAAACCTGGAAATGCTGAACATCGATGGGAACCCTTTAACAGAATTTGATGTTGAATTTATACAACCTCTTAACAATCTGAAAATAATGCATATGCAATTCTTCAATTCTTCTACATTCGAAAAGTTCTGCAATCATTTAATGAATCATGGAAAACTGACTTTATCGCCTCCTTGTCCTTCTGCATCTACAACCAGACTCACAGATCGTGAAGAGGCAGATCTCAAAATTTTAACAGTAGGTACTATAATGTGCGCCTGCGCATTTCTTATTACAGTAATTGTGTATCTTCTCACTACCAGATGCAAAACTCGGACATCAAATGCGGTAGACACTAAGGAACATGATTCAGAAAACACAATCCAACAACGTCGACTGCCAAAACCAGCTGAGCCAAATGAAGGATATGAAATCCCCACGTCGCCCAGATATGGTTGGTTTTCATCAATTTGTCATAACAGACGAGTAAAGAGGAAGACTGGGTACACCTCTGTTCCCTTGGAGAATACTGGAGATGTCAACAGAAGAGCCGTTTCTGATAAAGACGGCGTTTTAACGGGAACAAATCCTGGCTCACTACACAGTCTTTCGTGTAGAACCGTTTATCTAGATGGCATAATTTATCCAAAGCCCAGTCAGGTTAATTCACATCCAGAAAGCAACGTAGATAAATATTCGACAGTGTTGGCGGAAACGGAAACCTATTCAGTTCCAAAAATCCCCCCATTACCCAAACAACACCAATCACCACACATGCGCACTATTTTCAATGCAGAGGTGTTATCTGAGAGCCCACCTGGACCGAACCAAATGATAGGATCTGGGTCACCTGCCAGACGTTCTGAATATCAGAATATATCTTCGTCTTCAGTTCCCCCAGAACCGACCTGGGTTTTTGACGAACCACAAGTAAACAACACGGAAGCTAGTGTTAATGGATCAGAAATTGTGTTTGTGTCGTCGACTTTTATTGAGATAGGACAACATTAATGATCAACTGTCCAAATACACTCCACAATAGATGAAACTAAACAAATCCTTAAAGAATCGAAGGCTCTTCTTGTTCCTCTCAGATCTTTGGAAAGTAATAAGATGAAAACGTAAAGCTATGCCTGTAACAGGCCGTGGATACCCATAGGTTTGAGAGACGTCGAGGCTCCAATATTTTTCTAGACAATTGGTTCATAGGTTGTGGTGAGGTTGTCAGCCTTTCGCACCGGCCAGCCGGCCTGTGTCCGCCCTTTGCCCCCAGGAATATTCCTGGTACAAATTTCTGAGGCTGAATTGACATCGGTACCATAGCGCGGCCGAAAGGATTAGGCCATTGGAAAATCCAATGACCTCATCGGGAATCGAACCCGCGATCTTCCGGCTTGTAGCACACTGCCTCAACCACCTACTATTTCAAATTGTACTCCAAAGAGTGAAATTAGAAACATACATTCGTAAGTCGTGAGATCTGAGTTTCTGACGGCGATGTCTCTGAAGGTCACTTTCTTCTGGGACATGACGCCGTGTAGTGTTGTAGATCGGTACCAGCGTTTCGGGAGAAATTTGTTACCTCCAACTTCATGGAAAATGATGGGGATAGCATAGCCTGCGAAATGTTAGTAACGGTCAACTAGACTACATGGCGTCATGTTCCGGAAAAAATAATTTTTATTCGTCAGGCTATCGAAATAATTACTCGTACATTACAATATTGCATTTTGTTGTGGAAGGTGATCGCAGTACTGACACTCAGTTTATATCAAATTCTCTCAAATTCCTTTATTCAGATCGCAATGCCAAGTTTCATGAAAAATCGATCAGTATATTTCTATATTCTGGACCTTAACGCCACGAACTCTGCTCAAAATCAACCGATGTTTCGGGAGAACATATCACCTCCATCTTTAAGGTCAAAGAATAAGCCAAGCAAGAAACAAGCATCAAGCACATGGCAATCAGAGATTTTTCCGGAATCTACACATCTGATCAGCAAGTCTGAGATTTCTGACAGTCACTTGCCTCCAGGCTCCCGTCACTTAAGGAAATGGGGGTAAGACGCATATGGGAATTATTCTCGAGTTACCGAACCAAGTTTCGTCATGCCTCTTCTTCTCCATTGGTTCTTTAGGCAGTGTCTTAGCTTCAAATCCTTCGATTGTCTATGGCATCGAATACCTCATTAACTGATTTATTAATATGCTTGTAATTAAGACAGCTTTTTGGAATTCTTCTAGCTTACATTCTTTGCCCTTGTAATTAATTACCCATTAATCAGATAAAATCAGATAAAAAATCAGATAAATTCCCTGAATTTACAATTTATTTAACGTCGTATAAAGGAGCCCAACAGATATGACAGCTAATTAACTATGGGTAACCGAGCGCTTCCTGAAAAGCTAACAGTTTCTCATCTACTCAAGATATTCCCAGTGCCTTATGGAGCCCGAAGGTTCATTTACGTGTTCACAAGAGCCCGCCACTTATCGCCATTCTAAACCAGACGAATTCAGTCTACACTTCATTCTATTTGTCTAAAATCCATTTTAATATTATCCTCACACGTACATCTAGGTATACTTTGTAGTGTCTTTTTCCCACGTTTTCCTACTAGATCTCTGAATGCACTTATATTTTCTCCTATTCGTGCTACAAGCTTTGCTCATCTCGACATGATAATTCTAATAATATCTTTCCGGGAATATGAATTACGAATCTCGACAGTACACAGTTTTTCCCCAGTCTCTTATTATTTCATCCCTCTTTGGTTTAAATATTCTCCTCAGCACCCTTAGTCTATATTCTTCCCTTAATGTGGCATACAAAGTTTCGTATCCACAGAAAACTAAACAGATATGACAGATTGAGCCAAATAATTTGGACTGCCGTCTTCTGGGTCATGAAAACGAAGATAATGTTTGGTCAGACTGCATGATGACGTAACACAAAACACCAGGATCTGTATTTTCTCCACTGTGAAAAACCGAAATCTCATACTGACCCAAATAAACCGAATAACAGCCCATGTATACAAAGAGTGGGGGACTTGCGAATACTGGAACATTCACTTCGACAAGGAAAATGGAAGATTTATTTCACAGAATACGATAACCTTTACCACTGCATCTTATTTTTCTTATCATAAGAGAATTTCTCTGATAAGATACCACTATTGACAGTTTCACATTATATACAAATACCATTACACCTTCTTACAGGCTGTCTTTACGATGATAATATTCGCTAGACCATCTCTCAATTCTGAATATTACACGACTTGAAGACGGAGGCTTTATGTTCCTCTGAAACGCTGTTACCTAGCAGATTATACGGTGTTGTAACGGAAGGTCACGTTTTACATCTTGAACGCCGTTATAACCTCAACTCTTATATACCTTTCTTTTTAGTTTCTTGGGGTGGGGTGAGACTGAGTCCACTTGGTAGTTCGGCCACAATTGGCCTACCGTACCAGCCCAGGATGACAGATGATGATGATTGTGGAGTAGTCGGTGGAATGAAAGTTGGCAGGGGAACCGAAGTACTAGGAGAAAACTTACCCCAGTGTCACCTTGTCCACATCAAATCCCACATGAACTAAACTGGGATCGAACCCTGGTCGCCGTGCTGGGGAGCAAACGACTAATGGCCTGAGCTTAGTGGCTAATGGAGGGGGTGGAAGCAAAGACGCACTGCCAGCCATCCTTAAGAAGAAACAGAAATCGCAATGACGCTTTGACGAATGAACTGTCACATTCACTTGGCGGTGATGGAAGAGCGGAAGGTCAGGCAATGCATTTGTACTCGTACGTTAAACTACTACTGTAGCACCTTGGTTTCAGTATATTGGTTTAGCTATATATTTAGTTCAGTGAATCCCGAACTATGGCCCATCGGAAAGTTTAGCTCTTCGCTAGCTGGGGCTGAAGTTCTTTACGAGCTGGGATGAAGTGTTCAGCCAATGGATTCGAGTAATAGTGGTACATTCCAGAATTTTCAGAAAAAGTAAGAAAAAAAGGAAATGGAAACATTTTTTCTCAAATACATATTTCTCGCAATCTCTTACATATATTGCTTTTTATTTATCTTTTGCCTCTGCTATACAAGTATATGATTTAATACTGATTGTTTTATTGTTATTATTATTATTGTTGTTCTCCTCAGAACTACCTTATTCTTTATGGGTATTATTTTTCTTGTTTTTATTGGCCTTAACATTTTTTGTTATTGTGTAAGTTAGAAATAATTGTTACACTGTGCTATTTCCTATGCCGGTCCTGTGACCGCGGTCTCATACTTTTCTTTGTTTGTAACGTAATTAATAGAATTACTCTTTGCTGTTTCGGAAATTGGCCTTGGTATCGCTTAACCCGGCACATAAATAATAAAGAAGTGGCTTGAATTATTGTTATAATTATTAATTGAGTTATTATTATTATTATTATTATTATTATTATTATTATTATTAACTTCTATGTGTGTATGTACATGTATTGTCCTTTCTCGCCACAAATGGCATAACTACACTTGGTTGTCAACTTACGACCGACTTCCGTTCTGACTGACAGGTCGTAAGTCGATCTGGTCGTATGTCGGCCATATATTTATTAACAGTATTTTTTAAACTTTCTCATATTTTTATCATCTTTATAATTTATTTTTAAAAACTTTTACATTTTAATCATCTTTTATTTTTCATTTTTTTTTTGTGATCGTAAGTCGACGACCAAGTGTATTGGAAATGTATATATTTTATTTTTCTCGCCTGTTAAAGCTAACTTAATTTTTTCTTGGAATTGTTATTAATTTATTGCTATTATATAGACTGTCATATTTTGTATTTTGTTCTTTAATTATTTTTGTGTATTTCTATGTACTCCTGCTAAATATGTAATTGGTGACTGTGCTGTTCAGTTTGCAAGTAAATAAACACGAATTGAACTGAATTGAATTGAATTGAATCATTACTGCTACTACATTATTTGTCAAGATATGTAGATCATGATATCATATATCATATTTTCTGCTACAAATGCTTTTCCTGGTTGGAATGATAACATAAAACAATAAGTTTTTCAAGCAGTGCCGCAGACAGCAGCATGACGTTAAGCTGTTCCGTGAACTGAAAACGTTTGGGGATCACTGATATACAAATACTTCATTACCAGAACACGACTGAGATATGATTAAGGCATTAGATTACAAATAAACTTGAAAGGATTCTGACGATGGTGTATACTATACTTCTTTTGGTTTATTTTGGACTTCATCCATCGTCTGAGTCCAGTGATTGAGACTAGCTCTTTCTAACGGGCCCAATTGAGTAGGTTTATCCTTCCCTACCCACCTGAAAACGGAGACAGATCCAGTCTCCGAAACGTCGTGGTCTTTTGTCTTTTAAATACCAGACGATCGATGAAGTCCAAAACAAGCCAAAAGAAATTAGATTACAAGTTTAAATGTAACCAATATGAATTATACTATTATGATAAACCAAATGAAATTAACACAGAATTTATAATAAAAAGATTAATAATATCCAGCATTAATATGTTTCTTTTTTTCTGAACGTTGTATCAGTTACTGAGAGATACAGAATCTGTGAGTGTGGGTTGCGCTTTACAAACCTGAATTTAAATAATGTTTTTCACTGAGTAATTAACGTAACAATGCTTACAGAATAATAAAATCAAGAAGTCTTGATCTCGTAATTACGTACTTTATACTCAGTGGATTGTAACGACACATAAAGACAGCGCATTCTATCAAAGAAGCAAATGTGTTATAATTAAAAAATATTATATAAAATATTATATAAAAACTAGAGACATTCATAATTATTTTATCGTCTGCACAGTGAGCATGAGCCGGGATAGCTCAGTCGGTATAACAACGGCCTACTGGCTTGATGGCCAGGGCAAGAGATTTTCCTTTCTCCATAGTGTCCAGACAGGCTCTGGGGTCCAAATAGCCTCCTGGGCTGCTTCCCAGGGAATGAAGCTGATAACTCACCTCCATCTAATACCGAGGTCAAGAATGTGGAGCTGTACCTCCACTCCCATAATTAATTAAGCACCAGGACACTACGTTTATCTTTTACAAAGTGTGGAACAATATTATCTAACATTTACATTTGTTTCTTCTGTAGAGTCTTACGAGTGAACGTAATCGCGAGCGCATGCGCGCTTGTGCTGGATTTCCAATTCGAATGCTCCCACATAGCAACAAGCATAACTGATGATGTAATATTTATTAATAATGTATCATTATTTTATATTAAACAACAGGTTTATATTTTGTCATTTGTATCCCTTTTTATATTTTGAACATAAGGCCAGTTGATTTTTCTGACGCACTCCTGACATGGCTTACAGCGCGCACAATCAATTTAAACACGAATATCGACTACATCTGACAACGAAAGTAACAGAAATAATAATGAATTACACTTTTTAGTAGTGGTAGCTAACACGACCGACCGACTGAGCGACCGCTGCTTGTCAGCGGAGTTAGTGCCAACTTTAGCTGATAGTTCTCTTGCGGACTAAAACCACAGAGTTAGTTTAGGTGGTTAACACGTTCCCGCAGTAACGAATATACTCAAAAAGAGAAGAATTGTTGGACGCGTGTGTCTCTGGGTATGTCTGTTTATACCCCTATCGTTGCCAGGTAAGATTTCGGTAAAGAATTTCTCGCGGTAACGAAGAATTTTTGGACCCGTCGTTTTCTATGCGGTCAGTGTCGTACCAGAGAAAACTAGGAGATTAATTCCTCCAAAGCTTATTGTTCAAAAGAAGGAAAGTAGGCTAAAATTACAGGGTCATTATGGTAAACACATCCGTACAGAGCTAAGGATACAAATATGTGAAGGTTTATCTCAATTCGCACCTATCTCCTTGGCCCGGTGTTTAAGTACTCCAGTACCTTGTCATTTACTTAGATGTAGATACACTAAACATTCCGAAAAAGTCTGCTGAATTACATAAAGTATATGACCATAGAACAATCGAGAGTTTAACTTCAAAGTATCCGTCGCTTCCCGTGGGCAGTTCTTTCAGCAATACTTCCGGTGCAATATATTGTCAGGTGACAGTGAGAGTCTAGACGGGTTTCGGATTGATGACTCGCTTTATTTCATACTTTGATACAGGGCGTGACTACACCATACATTTCGCTATTACACACACACACACACACACACTATTGTCCTGCCACGCCTTCACTGTCGTTGCTTGGTAGCGGCTTGCAACGGCAGACGTTGCCCTTCCTCTGGGTTCGCGAACTGACCCCGGCCCCTTGGGACTCGGACCGTATTATACTGTCTTAGATTTGAGACTTCCCTTTTCGTCGCCTCCTACGACTCGCAGGGTCACGGTGGAGGTATTCGACCCCGCCTCCACATGGGGGACTGTAACTGCTAACTGGTCCTCGTTATAACACCTCGGCAAGAACCGTGTAGAAAACGTCTATTTCATTATTTTTCTGCTCTTTCTTAGCCGCGGAAACAATTGTCTGCTGTGCCGTTACTTAGTAATGGCTGTTGTATACCTGCTTGTTTCGGGGTCGATGTCTAGCAACGGGTGTACGCACCACAATATAATTTTTCATGCATTAGGATGTATAATATATAAATAACTTGTTTATAAGCCCTCGGTTAGCAACAGACATCCTCAAATAATTCATGCTGCATACAACATGTTTATTTCTTTGTTTTATAATCTCATTTGCTTTCATTTCTTTCAACTGAGCTTGATTATTATACGATACCTGAAATGGTTTGTGTGCACAGGAATTAACAAATGGAGATTACATTTTAAATTCAAGGGCCATGTAACGTTGAGAGTGTTACATGTTACGTAAGCAGCATGTCTGAAGACACTGCTGGAACGGAAACGGTGAGCATCAGACGAGCAAGTCACCAGATTGGTGGTAAGTCTTATCTGATATTTCTTTAGAATGAAATGGTTTATTGACAAACATAAATATTTTATTCATAATATATATAATATTTAGCACGATCACCTTACTTAACATGACACCATGAAAACTCTATAACACCCATAAAATACACTAAGAAACGAACATGAGCTCGAAATTTCACGTCTTCTACAACATTACTGGGCTTTTTATTGAGTCAGCTTAATCTACTTGACATCAGTAATCAAATTTACACCACTCTCTGAGCAGGTGTTTTGGTCAGACGTTACAAACGTGGTCTCATTTTATGATGTATCCTTACCGAAATTTACCACTGTTCTTACTTAAGAACCATGTCATGAAGACGTATGGGGAAGGGGAGGTATAGCTCCGTATATTACTAACCTCCGCATTAGATAAATGTAGGGGTACACGGTAGCGTAGTTGGTTGAGGCACTATGCTACAAGTCGGAAGGTCGCGGGATCGAATCCCGATGAGGTCATTGGATTTTTTCAACTTACCTAATCCTTTCAGCCACACTATGGGCATGGGGTCGGGCCGCGCCATAGCTCAAGCGGTTAGTCGCTGGCTTCCCACAGCGGCGGTCCGGGTTCGATCCCGGGTCTGGTTAAGTGGGATTTGTGGTGGACAAAGTGGCGCTGGGGCAGGTTTTCTCCGAGTACTTCGGTTTCCCCTGCCAATCTTCATTCCACAAACTGCTCCACAATTACCCTCACCTATCATCATCTGGGGCTGGTACAATAGGCCAGAAGTGGCCGCAGTAAAAGGGACTTAGTCCCACCCTACTAGCATTAAAAAATGGGCCTGGGGTCAACTCAGCCTCTAAGAGAAATGAGTACCAGCAATATTCTTAGAATATTCTTGGGGGTGAAGGGGAGCCGGCGCGTAGGGCTGACAACCTTACCGCCATCTATGAACCGATTGTCTAGAAAATGTGGGAACCTCAACATCTCACAACCCTATGGGCCTCCAAAGCCTATTACAGGAATACCTTTACTTTACTTTAATCGTATACATACAGAAGACTGAAAGTCGCGTGCAAATCGGGGATCGGTGTGCAACTTGCAAAACTGCCAGTGGTGCGGAGAACCCTGTTTTTCATGAGCTGTAATTTTAAGAGGTAGGTGTCTGCCGCTAATTCCCAAGGGGGACAAGCGTAAGTATTTACTGATCTGATCAGTTTCTTATGGAGGGTTAGTTTAGTGTTAGCACTTAAACGCTCGCTTTTAAACAGGGAGTAGATGCTAATAAATGTTCTGAAGGCCCTAGCTTCAGTTATTTCTATGTGCAGTCTTCATGCAATCCGCGAGGACCGCACAGTAAACGTCTCCCATTATTGTATGTTCTCTCGTTGCCGGGAAACAACGTGTCCACAGAGCTGTTCCCTAGCAAGGGCTGTTGAACTCTCGCCTGTTTACACCCCTGTTAGTTGAAAATGGATCTACATTATTATTGCTAGTTGTTATTATTATTATTATTATTATTGACCGCCTATGGTCTAGTGGTCAGAGTTCCTGGCTACAGATCCAGAGGTCCCGGGTTCGATTCCCGGCGCTACCAGATTTTCTGAGTAGTGGGTCTGGAACGGGGTCCACTCAGCCTCATGAGGATAATTGAGGAGCTATTTTAGGGAAATAGCGTCTCCGGTCTAGAAGACCGCGATTAACGGCCATGGGGATCTGTTGCGCTGACCATGCGACACCTTCTATCAGCTAAAGTTGACACTAACTTCGCCGACAAGGGCCGGTCGCTCGGTTGATGTAGTTCGCTTGTGGATTACAGACCACGGAATTTGTTTTGCTTATTATTATTATTATTATTATTATTATTATTATCATCATCATTATCATCATACGAATCGGTGCAAAGGAGGTTAGCATATAATTGATTATACTTCTTGTGTGTTCCTTTAGATGGCGTCTCCGGGAACTTCTGTGCCGGGACTGAGAAAGAAATTCAGTTTTCTCTCGAACATCGTCTTCTCCTTGCTGTGTGTTCTTTATTTTATTTCATCAGGATGTAACAGTTATTCGATATGCCCTGAATCTTGCAGATGCAGCAACAACTTCTTGAGGAAGACTTTCGCCAACTGTTCAAGACGAAGCTTGACTGAAGTTCCCCACTCATTTAATGGGAATTTCAATAAGATCTGTCTCGCTTACAACCGAATTGATGAAATTCGAGAGCAAGATTTCAGCACACCCATTAACGTTGAAATTGTGAATTTAAGATATAATGTAATCACGAATATACACGAAAAGGCATTCGAGAAATTGAAAGAATTAAGAACACTGGATTTGTCCTGTAACAGAATCACTACACTACCATCACGTTTGTTTGAAAATAACAGTAAATTTAAAACATTACTTCTTCGAAGCAATATGTTATCTGTTATGGGACCAATTGTAAATTCTGCATCTCTGAAAAAACTGGATATATCTTCTTCCAATATTTATTATCTACCATGCAATTCATTTGAGAGTGTACCTAATCTAAACACTTTGTATTTAGATGATAATCCGTTAATCAGCTTGACTGTTAACACGGTTGAAACACTCACAGAATTACAGTCTATAAGAATGGAACCTAAGAAATCAATATGTCTTCAAAAATCTTTCCAAAATGTAATTCAGTATTTCAAGAACAAATCTGTGGACCACTTCCCTAGAATAATATGTGGATTAGATTACAAATGTTACATTAATACCGATGATAAATCTAAAACCATAGCCAAAATACTTTTAAGAAAAGGACAGCAAAATAATGACAATTTTGTAGAACATTTTTTGTTCATAATATTTGCTTGTGTCTTTGTTTGTGGCATCGTCTCTGTTCTTTTCATAAGTAAATGTCCCATCCGAAGAAATACAACATCTTCTCCTAATGTCAATTCAGCGACACAAAGCTCAACATTTGGTTCCGATGGTAATGAAGTAAAGCCATGGTACAAGATTCTGCTATTCCAAGTGTCTGGTGATTGTAAGGGAAATAAGGACAGTGATACTCAGCGGCATGGTAACCAGTAAGGTTTATTTTCCGCGAGTGTTTTTGCCGCGTTTTAGCTAACCACTGATTAGTCGTGTTGCTGTGTGGAAGCACCTCCATTCAAATAAATGGTTAGCTAAGCGACACACACGCTCGTAGAAAAAGAGAATTAAAGCAGCGTTTCTTAACCTGAGGTAAGGAGACATGAATGATTTTTTTTAGAAAGCAAGTAATCGAAAATGTTAATTAAGCGTAGAAATATAAATGCAAATGCTTGATTTCATCGAACGTATATTTTATTAATATTATACGTTGCTAACGATCCTGTAATGCACAAAACTTTGGAACTTTTTACGCTAATTGTAAAGAAAGAACTGACCTAATTCAGCGATTTTTGATAAGGGGTGTGAAACCATATTTTGAGGGGAAAAACGGACGCAGATAGTAAAGGTTAAGAACCACTGTCTTAAAGAATATTATTTCTGTACGAAACTGCTCTTGAAGCTCCTACTACATTGAGTCTATGTAAAAGATCGATAGGGAGAGAAGATATCATTTAAATAATATATCCATTATTAGTGACAAAGTCTATCTCATACAGATGACAAAGTTGAATGATTAATAAACCAGAGTTTCATAATACGATTATATTAGATACATATATAACTATTTAAAGGCAAAAAACTGAAGTTTTACCTGTGCTTAACTAATTAAGCACTACGCCATGAAGATGTTTGTGGGAGTGGATGTGTAGATCCAAGTTTTCTTGACCTCAGGTATAGTTGAAGCTGAATGCTAAATTTCATGCCCTTGCCGCTTTGTCCCCAGTATCCCTTGGCAAGGAGGCTGGGTGAGCCCCAGAACCGGTCTGGAAGACGTGAAGAAGAGAAAATTCTTGACTCTACCGGGACTCGAATTCCGGCCCCTCCGTCATTATCGTAGCCAGTCGCTATGCCGACTGAGCCACGTCTAAAGCACAGCAAAGATATAGGAACCAGCTACACCTTGTCCAAGGTGTTCATGCATTTTTTTTTTATAATTTACAGAATAACGAGTAGTTTCATATAGAATATTAACAGACTAGCCTTTGTAATAAAAACTCATAGTTTTTTCTGAGAGAGAAACTGAATTTATAAACACTGTACAGACAAAATTCGTGACTCAAATGGTCATAGAGTACTTTTGAGTTTGACTAATGCAGGACACATATCTCCTTAGGTGCTAAGCATATAAACTAATGAAGCACATATATCAGCATAGTAGCTAAGTCGGTATAGCGACTAGGCTAGAGACTGGACAACAGAGTAACTGGGGTTCGATTTCCGGCAGAGGCAAGATATTTTTCTCTTCTCCACGACGCCCAGGTTGACTCTAGGACCAACCAAGCCCCCTAACCAATGGGCATTTCCTCATCATCCACGGTGGCTAAACGGTTGAAGTGGGAAGCTGACCCCTCATTTCCTTCTAGTGCCGAGGCTAAGAATACATGGATATATAGCTCCAATCCATGTATGTCTACATGACGTAGTGCATTATTACAGGAACAACTTTAATATTTTAAAAATTTACTTTGTTCCAAACTTTATTCCTTATTCCACTTGCAACCGTTACTTATTTATGACTGTTCCAAACTTTTATGTGCATCATGTTGCAGAAGTTCAGAATATCTGTGGTTATGGAAGAGAATGTAAAGGGGAGGGGGGGGGGAAGGAAAGAAAATGTAAAGCTCTCCCTGTAACAGGCCGTGGAGGCCCATAGGGCTGTGAGAATTCGAGGTTCCCAGATTTTCTTGACAGTCGGCTCATAGATGGCTGTGAGGTTATCAGCCTTACGCGTCGGCCTCTCTTTATCCCCAGGAAGATTTCTGGTACTCATTTCTGTTAGAGGCTGAGTCGACCTCATGGCCATAGTGTGGCTGGAAGGATTACGTAAATTGAAGACTCCAATAAGCTCATCCGGACTCGAACCCGCTACCTTACGGCTTGTAGTATAGTGCCTCAACCAACTACGTTACTGGTGCCCCTTGGAATGGAATGTTTATTCATTCAATGTCAATTTTAAGGGAAGAAGCAACTTCAGACTTTCATACAGAAATGTATTTAACTCAGTATTTCATTGTGTCACTAAACGGAAAGCAATGAGATTTAGTAACGTAACTCAGTATTAACTATGGCTTTTAAAAAGGAGAAATTCGTTATGAAAATTTTTCATTTTTGTCAAATTACGTACTTTACCTCTAACTGAAATGAGTGCCAGGAATCTTCCTGTGGGGTAAAAGGCGGCCGGCGTGTAAGGCCGACAAACCCACTGCCATCTGCGAGCCGACTGTCTAGAAAATGTGGGAGCCTCGACGTCTCATAGCCTTATGGGCCTCCGCGGCCTGTTACAGGGATAGCTTTAGTTCTCTGTAACGACTCTGATATTTAACAAGTTTTCAGTTTAATTACAAATTCATTATTTATTAGGAAAATCAGAATAAATCTCATTACATTTTTAGAGTTTCGTATGAATTTGAATAATGCTTTATAATGTTTTTGACGGGAGGTACAATTATCCCTGTAGACAGGTAATGTAACCATGAACATGTATGATTTAAACAAATACAGATATTAATATAAATAATAAAACATAATAAAAATTGTGAAGCTAAACTTTCGAGCTGTTACTCCTTCAATTGTACGTATTTCTTAATGATATTCAAACAAAATATTTGTCTTAATACTTACTTACTTACTCATGGAGCTGAGCCCTTCTGGAGGAGCCGCCAATTTTGCAGCTACTCAAGAATTTCCCAGCATTTTATGGAACCCGAAGGTTCATCACCGTCTTCGCAAGAGCCCTCCACTGGTCCTTATCCTGAGCCAGATCTATCCAATCCATACCATCCCATCCTATCTCTCTAAGATCCATTCTAATATTGTCCACCCACCTACGCCTTGGTCTTCCCAGTGGTCTCTTTCCTTCTGGTTTTCCCACCAATATCCTATACGCATTCCTTGTCTCCCCCATTCGTGCTACATGACCTGCCCACCTCATCCTCCTTGACTTGATCATTCTAATTTTTGACAATCCTTACGTGCTAAAAACGGCGTAGCGTCTACCGGAGTGCCATAAGTCGCAGCCAAGTGGTTAAGACTCCTCATTCTTACTCTGAAGGTCCCGGGTTCAATTGTCATTCCGAATACCGAGGCTTTATATCGATTTCTCTAATCCCTCTAGGCAAATATCAGAATAGAATTTTAAGTTTGGCCAAGACCACTTATCCTATCACCCTCTCCACTTCATTAATAACTAAATAACATGGCCGCCCGCGGCGTATTGCAAGATAGGAGTAACATCCGGACATTTTTCTAGAGGGACTATGTAAAATCAAGAAACACGTCAGGATAACCAGTTTCCAGCCCAGATTTGAACTGTGGTATAAAATACGTACTGTCTTCGATCCCTTGAACATTGGTTCGAACCCCACTGCGGGAATGGATATCAGCATTTGTTATGCGTTTCTGTTGTTCTCTATATATACAGGCCTTCACGATGGGGCGATCTCTCATTCAAGGAATCCTGTCAAATCTGTAAGGTTCACAATTTCCAAAGTTAATTCTGAACTGGAATAGAGCGAAAGTCCAATCCGTGAGAGCTAAAGAGGAATCACATTTTTGGTCTACATCTCTAATTTTTAAGAAATAGTATTCTCCGCTATTAACGTTTGAATGCCTGAACCAATCTTTATGAAACTTGGTATGTATATCATGGCACCTGAGCCCATCACAGCGGCGTACTACATAAATCCTTCCCATCAGCTTGTGTGTCTGTATGTGTATCCGTCCTACCTTTGCTAAGAAACGGCCGGGTAAAAACTTCACCGCGGCGACGAAGAATTGTTGGACGTGTCGTCTTCTATGCGGTCCATATAGCATCAAAGGAAAATCTATGGTCCCGTTTTTATGTCCCCCTATCATTGCTAGGCAACGACTCGGTAAATACGTTCCCGCAGCAATGAGGAATTGTTTGAGGCGTTGTATTCTATGCGATCCATGTCGTATCAAAGCACAGTAGGCGATAAGTTCTTCCAGAACTTCTTGTTAATTAATTTATTCTTCTCAGGTCTGCAATGCTTGAACCGATACTACATCATTGTCCCATTATATGCTACTTTTTTGTTTTGAGGCTGTTAACAGTGGATAGAGGTTGGTCACAATGATGCATTCCGTATGTCTAGACCTGTAGAATGAAGCAAATAAGTGCAGGTATGTATCCACGTATTTAAATTTATCGCTATCAACACACGTACATTTGTTTAAGTGTCTCGTATCGGTGCATTATGAGGCACGTGGGTCTTTCAAAGAAGCTGTAAAGTAATAAAAAATATTTACTACAGCTTACGTAAGTCTATTATCTTAATTACACATGATTCACTTTATACTTCGCATTATGCATACAAATAATTATATGAAATTTATAACGTACACACGCGGCTTAAACCAATGAAGGCAGACTTATGGCAAGAAGTAGGCATATTTTCTGAAACGATACTCAACTGCAGAAACAACTGGAAGTTAGCATGTTCTCAGTTTCGGGACAAAAGAATCTCAAAATGACTTCAAAAGCTCTTGCTAGAAGATACAAGTAAAATGAAGCAATTTTTTCAAGGTATGTTCTGTTAAATGAGTTATTTTGAAAAGTTTTCAGGTAATAAAAAATTAAATGTCATCTTTACGATTGCAACATACAAAAATAATCCTGTGTTAACCTTTTCAAGCACAGTACCGTGTGGTTTAACGTTTAAACATCTTTGAATTTTGCGTATTCAGTGAATGTGTTTCTTTTTTCCTGCGTCTGGGTTATGATACGACGTTATCAATATCTAGACTAAAAAACATGAAATGGCAGGACGCCAGCCGAACTAGAAAGTAAGATTTGAGGTTCTCACAGCGGTATTTATGAAGACTACTATCTTCTGGGATATAAAGCTGTATAGTCCTCTGAAATTCAACCGACGTTTCGGAGGAACGTATTGCCAACATCTTCAAAGTTGAAGAATAAGCCAAGCACGAAACCAGTTTATAAGCAGATGACAAGCAGAGAATTGGAAAGGATTTGAAAGGAAGTGGTCGTGGTCTAATTGAGGTACTATCCAACATTTGTCTGGAGGGGCTGGGGAATACAACGAAAATCCTTAAACAGTATAGCAGGCACTCAGACTGATGTTCGATCCGAGTGGGGGGAGGGGAAAAAAAAACAGCCGTCAGTTACCTAAACAATATNTCACTTTTCCTGGATAGTCTCTTTCCAAAACCAGAGATACCATGTATGCGAGATATTTCATTTGAAGGAGAAAGCTCTAGATCGCATCAAGTGGAGGAACTGTTTTGGAAGAGACTGTGGACCTGTCGTCTTGACAGATTACTGATGAATGAATGAATGGAAATGCAGTGTGTTTTCTTAGATGCAGGAATTGAATTTTAAATATATTATTTAGATGAATTTCGTGTTTCAAATGAATAATTTTTCATATTTTTTATAAATTAACTATATTTCTTAAAAGCTAAAATAAATGAAACTATTTATAAAATTAAATATTCATTTTTTTAGTCTATTACTCTCATTTTGAAGGAATTAAAGTAGGCTTATGCGATCTCCATGCTGTCTGTGTGTTTGTGTATCCCCTTATCAACTTCTGGGTGCATTAACCAATCTTTATTAAACTTGGTGGCATCTGAGTCTTGCTCAATGGCGAACATTATAAATCCCTCCCTTCAATCTGTGTGTCTGTACGTGTATCCCTAACATTCCTAGGCAACGGCTCGGTAAAAACATTACCGCGGCAACAAATACAAAGGCAACAATAAAAGAAGTTTGGACGCGTCGTCTTCTATCCGGTCCGTATCGTATCAAGGAAAGTAGAAATTGCCTAGTTCTTTCCAGAACTTCTTTAAATATACATTATTTTCGTCAAAGTTGAAAATAAAAGTACGTGTCCGGCAAAAAATGTTCAGGATTTTGCAGCTGGACTACGGCCACATCCTTCTGCGTGATTTCAAATTCACATTCTCTGTCGTCCTAACATTCTGCATGATAAGGCCAGAAATATCGATAGAGTCTTTAAAGAAATGCCTACTCATTCGTAACCTCGGACACGGCTGCTTCATTCCCAAACAAATGGCCTCTCCTCCGTGCTCAATGGATACGAGGCTGAAAAGAGCGCAGATCCGGTTGGGACGTAGTGATGAGAGAAACAGCCAAGGCCAGAAATGAACCCCGGTCGTCTACAGCGTAACCAGTCACTGTATTCACTGAGATATTCTGGGTTATGTGAATATTTATTATATTGTGTTTCAGATGCAACATACCAAAGCAGAACAAACCAGATTCGGACAATGTATTTTTCTCATGATCCTAACATCTGCAGAAATCGTGTGTGGCAGAACTTGCCTCGAAGTCTGTGACTGTTTCGGAGAAGAGAATATATTGGCGGATTGTTCAGGAAAGAATTTCAACAAAATACCAGAGAACCTCAACACCACACTGCACTACATTGATTTCTCTAATAATAGCATCACCAAGATTAAGAAATACGATTTGAGTGGGTATAAAAGCATTAGAATATTAAATTTGAGTAATAATGGACTCAACAAAATTTCTAAAAATTCATTTCAAGAACTGGTTAATTTAAAATACCTTTATCTGTCTGGAAACAATATTCTTCACTTACCATCGACTGTATTTAACAAAAATGTAAATTTAAAGAAATTATATTTGAAGGGCAATCCTCTGTCACTTTGTAATGGTATGTCAATTTTGGTATCAGATTCAATTACATACCTAGACATTTCTTTTTGTAATATCACCATTTTGCCTGCAGCAAGTTTCGTAACTGTACCTAATCTTCTAGCGTTAAGGTTAGATGGAAACATGCTGACAAATATTACCACTGAAATTTTTGAACCTCTTCAGAATTTAAAAGAAATCTATATGGAATCGGAAACATTAGTTTGTGCGGAGTCATCATTTAACGAATTTCTGAATTACCTTGAAAAACGTGGAATTAAATACTATGGACCATCTGTTTGCAGTGAAGAGTGTCTAAGTACGCCTTCCACGGTAAACTTAATAGCCCCTGTTCCGACTTCAGCCGTATCTAACCAAATATACATAGAAGTTCCTTCATCCATACCAAGGACAATGACTGGTACATTAGGAACAGCTATACCCTTTCTAAAGGAGACACTATTCTTCTTAAATGAGAAACGTCCGACAGCAAATATGATGTCAGTCACACATAACCCACTTCTTCAAGAAGTTAGCCACGAAACACAAGTTCATGAAGAGTCAACTTCCGAACATTTGTCTAACAGTTATTCATCAAACCTTAAAATGAAATCTATCAATGCTCTTACAATACGTATCTGCTTATTGTGTGTAGTACTGACACAAAGACTAGACTCTCTGAAACATATATGGGGGAGTGTCATATCTTGAGTAGGAAACAGTACGGAAAAAATAAGTCTTCAGTGAGGTCTCCTCTATGAAATTCCTAGGTTTCGTCGTTTACCTGTTGCACAATGTAATACCAACCGTCGTACTTTTATATGTGTACGTAGATAAGGTTGATGTTGATGTACCGTCAAAGATGTTTTGCACAGTCTCTCAAAAGTACGCGAGTATCGCAAGATAGTACTAGAAGCATTAACATACTGTATAAAACTACTACAAGTATGATCATACTACATAAAACTACTAGAAATATGATCGTACTACATAAAACTACTAGAAGTATTATCCTACTACATAAAACTACTAGAAGTATGATCATACTACATAAATCTACTAGAAGTATGATTATACTACATAAAACTACTAGAAGTACGATCATACTACATAAAACTACTAGAAATATGATCGGACTACATAAAACTACTAGAAGTATGATCATACTACATAAAACTACCAGAAGTACGATCATATCATTCAAAACTACCAGAAGTATGTTCCCCTTTCTAATACCAAATCTTGTAAAGATTTTCTCAAGTGAAATAATATTGTCTGCTAACCTAATGTAGTAGAGATAATGTACAGTACATTACACACAAGTGGATCCACCCGGCTTACAAGTAAATTTATCACTTTACCAATAATCCTACCTTAACTGTAATTATAAAACGGAACAGAAGATGGCACACAATTGCCGAAACATGTCTTAGGCAGCAATCCCATCTGCCGGAAGTAATGTTGTGTCCACAAAGAATAAAGTAAATAATATTATCTATACTATTGTGTTTAGGTCTATAACACTGGAACTTCCTGATTTCAGGCTTTCACCGTGGTTCGCTGTTCATGTTGTTTAAGCTCTTGGGTTTTTACACCGTGTGGATGTGGAAAGTTCTGTCGACGTTTTGGAGGTGTACGCTGCCTCCATCTTTAACCCAAAAGATGGAGTCACCATGTCCCTTCAAGAAGTCCGCAAAACTGCCCACATCGACATGGTGACGCTGCCTCCATCTTTAGCCCCAAAGATGGAGTCACCACGTGCCTTCAAGAAGTCCGCAAAACTGCCCATATCGACATGGTGTAAGAACATGAGAGCTGAAGCCAATTTCATAGGAACTTCTATGACGAAAGACTGCAGTCTGAATCTTTTATTCCAATAGGCCTATATGCAGAATTTCAGATCAGGCTATAGTAAGCCTAATCATTCGGCGTCACATTTTCAGTTTGTTTTCCGCTCTTTATGCAACCCTAAGATTCGTTACCGTGAAGCACTATAGTTTCCGATGTATCGCCGTGCAGACGGGCAGAAGCCAACCGACGTTTCGGAGCAACCTGTCTCAACTTTTATTGTCGGTGAGTAGTTTAATTAAGCAAGAAACAGCAAAAAGCAAGCAGTATGTTCCCCCGAAACGTCAATGAACTTCTACCGGACTACACAGCATTACATCCCAGAGGATCAGAAGGTATGCTCTTCAGTTACCGCTGTGAGAACCTAAAATCCAACGCTCATTACAGTATTCACAAAAGCTTGTCATTGGGCCTTATCCTTAGCTAGTTTAATGCACTTCATTTCTTTAAGATTCATTTTAACATTACTCTCCCACCTAAACTCAAGTCCCGTAAGTGATCTATTCAGATTTCTGGACTAAAATGTAACAGAAAGGATATAATAATAATAATAATAACAGTAATAATAATAACGTAGCATAGAATTAGTTTCCATGAAGTAAATATTTTGATAAAGAACCAGATTATAATTAAATTATTTGCATATATCTTGTTCTATGTAATAAAACATGCATATATATACACACAGGCTTAGTCAGATGAATTCTTCTTTTCCTTGGGACAGATTTTTCTCCTAGCCGTCGCATCTAGACTGACTTTGGGGCACAACCAGTCGGCTATTCAATGCGTACCGGTACATCTTCACGCGGTCAAAGAGCCCGGTAATGAAGCTGACTACTCATCTCCATCTAGTGACATGGGTTCCTCCAGGATATTCTTTTTCAGGGGGAGGGGGGGAGAGCCACAAATTTATTCACAAACTTACGTTTAAGCTAATTAAGAATGTTTTTACTGATCGCCTTATAGTATTCGATAGACTCTTAATTACTTGTATTAATATTCGTTATAGGGGGCACGCGGTAGCGTAGTTGGTTGAGGCACTATGCTACAAGCCGGAAGGTCGCGGGTTTTAGTCCCGATGAGGTCATTTGATATTTGTCAATTGACCTAATCCTTCCAGCTTCACTATGGCCCTGGGGTCGACTCAGCCTCTAACAGAAATAAGTACAGGAATTAATTGAATAATTTTCCTGGGGAGTAAAGCGCGGCCGGCACGTAAGGCTAACAGTCTTACCGTCATCTTTGAGCCGATTGTCTAGATAATGTGGGACCCTCAACGTCTCACAACCCTATGGGCCTTCACGGCCTGTTACAGAGATAGTTTTACTTTCTTTTTACTTTAATATTCGTCATATTCCCTTCTTTTATAATTCTTATTTTTGAAAAAAATCTTGGGGTGTCAACCCAGGTATATTCACCCATGCCCCATCTGTCGACGCCCATACGTAGAGCTATAACTCCAGCTCTTCGTAGTTCTTCTTGGAGTGGTGCTGATCTTAGCACAGGGGCAATTTTATCACATTTTATCTAACCACTGAGTTTGTATCTGCAGTAAGTAACCATCGATACAAACGAGACAGTTAATGCCATAGGTAACACATCTGGAAAGTAAGTGTACTGCACTGGCTTAGGCACTACACCTTCTCCTTTATATTACGCAGCTACTGAAACTCCCGTTGAGAATTCATCAGGAAGTCTCATCGTTTCTTACGTAAGCTTTCGGTAGTATTAACAGCCCCTGCTTTCTCTCGTATTCCATTCCAGTCCTACATGTTATCGAATGATACGGTGAGACCAAAGTTTAGCGCCATCTTTCACGAATAACACGCACAAATAGCCAATCGTATACCTTCTTCTTTATGCACTCGTAGTATACTACATTTCACATACCCAGATCTAAACAGCAGGAGCCGGGATAGCGCAGTCGGTATAGCAACTGACTACGGGCTGGACGACCGAGGGGTCGGAGTTCGAGTCCCGGTAGCGTCAGAATTTTCTCTTCTTCACGTCGTCCAGACCGGCTCTGGGGTCCACATAACCTTCTATCCAATGGGTACAGGGGGCTCTTTTCACGGGGGTAAAGCGGCTGGGTCGTGAAGCTGACCACTCGCCTCCAATTAGTGCCGAGATCAAATAAAATGTGGATCTATACATCCACTCCCACATACGCCTTCATGGAGTAGTGTTTAATTAGTTTAGCACTCGAACAAATTTACCTTTACATCTAAACAGTTTCAATGCACATATAACAAACAGGACTTACTGAAACAAAAGAATGATCGTTCGTTCGTGCAGTGTGTTAATTCTCTGCAATTAGTTGCTACGGTAACCCAGAATCGTTTATGACGATAACAAATCTCACACAGAACTTTTTGATATGTATAAAGCTTGGGAATCGAGATAGCGAAGGGCTACGGACTGGACGGCCGGAGTTCGATTCCCAGAAGTGCAAGATTTTTCTCTTCTCCACAGCGTCCGATTCTGGGGCCTGTACGGCCGCCTATGCAATGGCCACCGGGTACTCTTTCCCCGGCAAAAAAGAGGCCGGGGCGTGAAGCTGATAATTAACCTCCATCGACTGTCGAGGTCAAGAAAAGTGGAGCTATACCGCCACTCCCCCCATTTGCCGTCAAGGCATAATGCCTAACTAATTAATCACAGGGACAACTTAGCCTTTTTATATAGAAAGATTAGCATTGTAGTATAATACACTAACAATCCAAACAAAATCAGTAACTCTGAGGACCTTGTACAATTCTGGAGCATAAAACTGTGGAAAGAAAACAAAACACAAACCAGTCTACAGGAGGATATATGTACTCTTCATGAAACTGTGTCTCGAAGGTGAGTGTACGGGGGCAGTAGAGCATAACGTACGCCCAGTTGTGATTGTTACGACAATATCATTCGACTACTGTGGCATTCGCTGTAAAACTACGTCACTGGTTTCTAAGCTGCATATTTACATCCTGCCAGTACAATATGCAGCTTAACTAATAAAGCACCATTACATTCCAAGAGAATTTACAACGCGGTTGCTAAATAATTAGTCATGCAAGTTGAGGCGCAGTATCAACAGTGCATGAAGTAGGTATGATGCCTGTAGACTAGAAGCGGAGAAGAGACTCAGCTGTGTACAGAGGTGAGTTTTCTTTCGCAGTTAACGTTTCTAACAACTTCAAGTATGTTTTGATGTGTATACTTTACAGTGTAACATGAACTGCATAATTCATTCAGCTTTAGGGCAGTTATGTCATCTTCTGGATAAATACGCGACCTTCACTACATTTATCCATGGAGCGTAGCTTACGAATATTACGCTCATCACCATCTTGCTTCTATGCATTATTAACCGGTGGATGTGCAGAGTTCTTAAATTAAAAATATAAATTCTTATCTTGTTATATTTAATAATTGCATGGACAAGATTATATTGCATTCTATTTTTCGCATGAAAGTTATCTTTTTGTATACTTAATACCATTTGAATACTACACACTAAGTACTTCATAATTTTTACTCTTCGACAAATATTTGGATGAACAAATCAAGAATGGGAAAATGGGTTAGGAATGTAGCACGCATCGGAAAGACCATAAAGGTATGGTAGGAAAACCTTTAAGGAAATAGACCACTTGTAAAACCTGGCCGTAGTTGGGAGAATATGAAACTGGATCTTAAAGAAATACGGAGTGAATATGTGGATTCGATTCCTCGGGCTCAAGATAGAGACCAGTGGCAGGCTCTTATGCACACGGTAATGATCTAGAGGGTTGCATAAAATGCTGCAAGTTTCTTGACCCGGTTAGCGACTGTAATTTCTGAAGAATATTTTTGCCCAGCCGTTGCGTAGCAAATAAAGAGGATACATAACCAGACACACAGACTGATGAGAGGGATTTATGAAGTACGCCGTTGAGATCGGCTCAGGTGACATGGTATATACACCGAGTTTCATAAAGATCGGTCCAGACATTCAGAAATTAAAGGATGGGATACACTAACACACAGACAGCAGGAAGATCGCATAAGCCTACTTTCATTTTTTCAAGATAAGGAAAGTAGCCTAAAAAAAAAAGGAGTTCGGTCAGAAAGCCTGCTTTCCTACTTCAGTTACTTCCAATTTTATAAACCCTGTGTTACATTTACTAAATAGTTCGGCGTACCGGATTCGCGGTAACGTAAGCCTGAGATCGAATCTTACTAGAGTCACATATTTATTGGCCGAAATTATAAATAATGGCGTGTTATAAATATTACACGCCGATCACAGTGGCCGCGGGGTCTACGGTGTAAAGTGTCTTCGCGCGCTCGAACGCTGGGGTCGTGGGTACGAATCCCTCTCAAGGCATGCATGTCTGTGTGTGCGTTTATTCTGTGTGTATGTCTGTGTGTAGGTAGTGGTCTTGCAACGGGCTGATCACTCGTCTGTGTGTGTGTCTGTGTGTAGGTAGCGGTCTTGCAACGGGCTGATCACTCGTCTGTGTGTGTGTCTGTGTGTAGGTAGCGGTCTTGCAACGGGCTGATCACGCGTCCAAGGAGTCCTACCGTCTGTGTAAAAAAGATTACGAAACTGAAGAAGAGGCCAGGATCAAACAAAGGGCTCTAGAGCCATTGATGAATGAATGAATGAATGAATGAAATATTACATAAAAAGAAAACTGTTTGATACTCGAGAATCGGATCGTGTATCAATATTTTACGCGTTTATTTTATCTTATTTCCTTTTATTCGATTATCCCTGAAGTTCGGTTTGATATTTATGTCAAGTCGACTAATATGAACAGAAATTAATGTCCGAAAAATGTTCTAGTATTAACAGATTCCATCGATATCTGTCACGTAGTTCCGGTGATAAAACATTTGGACATACAAACACAGCTCTCTCCATTATGTTTTCATTTTATTTAATTCCGAGCAAAGAACAAATGAAAACGTACTTCTTTCTTTGGCAGAAGCAAGAAAATCATGGGCGACGAACAGTCTAAATCGAAGCCAGATAAACTCGTCTAGACCACGATGAAAGTTATCGCTAAGGAATTCAAGCAAATTTTCAACTTCAGATGGCAAATTGTTTTATCTACATTTTTTTTTAAATTCGCTTAGTGGAGCTGCAGTCCAATTGGGTCCACTCGGCACGGCGGCCACTGATTGGCCTATTGTAGGATGACCCGGGTGATTATGATGATGGAGAATTTGGTGAAATGAAGATTGGCAGGGAAAACCGAAGTACTTGGAGAAAACCTGCCCTAGCGCCACTTTGTCCACCACAAATCCCACTTGACCAGACCCGGGATCGAACCCGGGCCGCCGCGGTGGGAAGCCAGCGACTAACCGCTTGAGCTATGGAGCGGCCTTTATCTACTTATACTTCCGTTTCAAATATTCGTGACGGTGTTACAAGCTTCCACAGAGATATTACACGTCTATTATTAACAGTCACTGATTAACTGATTAGCCAAAACTCATGAGTATTATGTTGTCGCCAGTATCTGTTAGCATTCCGTGAGGTAACGCGGCTAGTCTGGGTACTTTAGCCCTGACCCAATTTCTGCAGGCGGATTCTCACGGTCACTCTAGCAACGTTCATCCGATCTGCGTCAAAACTGATTCTCTTACCCGGCAATCCTTTGGAGGTCTGTGAATTGCAGTTAGAAATCTTTTGTCTAATTACCGAGATTCAGGGCCGTCGATTGAATAAAACCAACTATTCAACTAGACAAGTTTGCTTACTCAAGAAATAGACAACAGAATTGTTTTGTTTATGGGAATCTGAGATATAAAAATGGATTTTCTTCTCAAACAGGAATTAACAGTGTCGCAAAGATTAAATCGATTCCTGGGACGAGATGGCCAAGGCATATAGAACGCACGGCACCGATGTGAAATGCATATAAGATATTAGTCGAGCAACCTGAAGGGACGAGGCCATTTGGAAGTCCTATGCTGATGGGAGGATAATATTAAAATGGAGTTTAAATATACAGCTCCAATCAATTTGTTCCATTAGTTATATGTCGTAGCTATGTTCATTTAATCAAGTTTCTATTTATCAATTTATCTTTAGTTCTTACATATGTAAACAGTGGCGAATTGCTGAAGTGATATGAACTAACGAGCAAGTTATTAATATTCTGAGACCAGTTGTCGAGTGTTGCCTATGTAACGCGACAAGTAAATTCACGCGGGTCTCGGACTTTGCTAAGACGCTTACTGGACAATCTCTTTTACACTCGCATGTACAATTATTCCAACTTCACTGTCACAATTACTACTTCTGCTATAGCCGAAGCCAACTGACCACTGACCCTTCTGACTACTCTTCTACGGTCAGATGCAAACTGAACTCTTCTCGGCAACTTCCAGAACTCTGTCTGGTCCAGTGAATCCCCTTGAATTTGCCTTTTGCGGACCGCTTATGGAACATATTTCTCAACTCTTTGGTTTTCCCGTTGTCATACAACGCTTCGAAAAATTTGTTGTAACCGCGGAAACTCACTGTTACAATTCAAATGCTGCATTCCATTCCGCTGTCTAGGAAATGATATCCGTTGACCAGCAACGAACGCTGAAATATGCTCCATTGTCCGGCTTTTAGGCAGCACGTCACAATACACGGTGTGTCCAGGATCAGTTAGGATTTTTTTTTTTATTTATTTTGCCCTGCAATGCCATCTGTTGGCGAGTTGTGACGTTAAGATTCTTGACGTTTCAGCTGTGGCCGTCTATAATTTCAAAGCACAAGCATCGCTGCATCATGTATTCTGACCTTGAATGTAACAGTACTGTTTTGACCGTTTTGACGCTCGTCGGAAAATGACGGTTGAACAGAAAGCTAACATCAAATTTTGTTTGAAGTTAGGCAAAACAGCCAGAGAAGCATACGAAATGATGAAAAGTGTGTACGGTAGGGATTGTTTGAGTCTCTCAAACATTTTTCGATGGTATGCTATATTTCATGACGGCAGGGACATTGAAGACGCTCCACGTGCATCAAAGGCGGGAACAAGTCGCGCTGGAGAAAATGGGAAAAAAGTGACCAAAATCCTTGCATCAGACAGATGTGTTTTTGCAAGACTCATCGAGGAGCTTTTTGGGAATACAAAAAAGTATTGTGCATCAAACTTTGACCAAGGATTTGGGCAAACGGAAGGTCTGTGCACGGTTTGTACCGCACGTGCTCTCAGGCAATGAAAAATATGCCAGAGTGAAACACTGCAAAGACGGTCGACCCAAAGTGATACAAAATTTACAAAATCGATTGTTACTGGTGGTGTTTTCAATATGAGCCTCTCATAAAGCGGCAGATTGCAGCGTGGTTGAGCCCAAAGAAGCCAAAACCAAAGAAAGTGCGAATGCAAAAGAGTCGAGTAAAGACACTGCTAACCGTTTTTTTTTTATTCCAAAGGAATCATTCACAAGGAATTTCTGCTAGAAGGTCAAACAGTGAATTCTGATTATTATCTCGGAGTTCTCAATCGTCTGTTGGCGAGAATTCTTTGAATTCGACCTGAATATCGAGAGCAAGCTTCCTGGTCGCTCCTCCACAACAATGGCCCACCCCACAAATCGAAGATTGTGCGCGATTTTTTGGCCACAGTCCTTGATCATCCTCTGTATTCGCCAGATTTGGCTCCAGCAGATTTCTGGTTGTTCCCAAATGTAAGTTGGTGATGAAAGGAGACCTTCACGACACCATCCAGGACATCCAAAGGGAATGCACCGCAGTTTTAAATGCGATTCCACAAAAGGAGTACAGTGACTGTTTTCGAAAACCTTTCAATCGATTCCAGCTATATATTGATTCAGAAGACTATTTTGAATAAAAAGAGTGAAATTTTGAAAATAATTCACGTCTTGTATTTTTAATGTACACAGTCGTAACAGAACCTGGACACACTGTGTATCAATATTTCAAAGACTATATCTGATGCGACGTTATGCCTGGAATTTTGCATTAAAAGGCAAGAGTGCTTACATGTCTAATATTTATAATGATTTATGAGTAATAATGTCCTAGGGGCCAAAATAACATGGCTTGATCTCCCCCCCTACTGTACCTAATGAACGGAAAACTACGGGCTATCTTACTGTGTCTGATCTCGGCATTTAGTACAAACGGAACCGTTCCAGTTTGAATGAAGGATTATCTAGTTAGCTTATTTTGTATTCACATTAGAGTCAATATGGAATTTTGGCAGCGTTACGGAAACAGCAAACAAGATGAAAAGAAAGGACAGTTCCCGGAAGGGACGTCCTTGTAGTAAGGTATCTGGCTTACCCAATATGATTATTCGAATTTTTAAGACCGCATTTTTACAAACAAAAAGTCACTGCTCCACATTTAAGGAAGTGTTTCCATTTAATTTATTAATGGTTTAATTAACGGCACTGTCAGTAATTCAGGCTATAAAGTCTGGATATCTCAGTCGGTATAGCGATGGGATGGAGGGTTCTATTCGCGGCAGAGCAAAGATTTTTCTCTTCTCCACAGCGTACAGACTAGCATTGAGACCAACCCAGCCTCTTATCCAATAGGTACCGGATGCTCTTTCCTCGTGGGTAAAGCGGCACGGGCCTGAAGCTGATTACTCACCTCCATCTAGTGCCGAAGTCAAGAATGGTGGAGCTACACCTCCCATACCCCATACGTATACAGGGCACAGTACTTAACTAATTAAGTACAGGGACAACTTTAGGTCGAATTCTAGGATTATTCCAGAATCGATACAGACGAGGTGGCAGCTCACCAAACAGTTGAGTCATTTTACTGGGTGAGCTATTCGGGTTCATAAAAGTAAGATTAGTATTTTAAAAGAGTAGCAGAAGTTAAATGCATCATCAAGGAATCATCGTAAAATAAGAAGACAAATTTTTCTCTGCAGCCTGATCAACAGAAATCAGAATATGTCATTACTAGGCTTACATATTTCCTGCAACTCCTGTTCAACAGGCATATGCAATATCGGTATATACTTATATTCAGGGTTCACATCTCGACCCTAAAACCAGTTACTGTGAGGTTTCTCGTGGTGTACCTCGGTCCCTCCAAGCAAATTCCGGATACCACTTCAAATTACGTCACGGTCGCTTCCTTTTACATCGTTTACAATTAATTTTTCACCAATAATTATACGTATTATTAGACGCTACATAATGTGGGTTACTGACGCCATTAATAAATACATTCAGACCTCATAAAGCTACACACTGATAATCATATTCGTCAAGAATATATTGCCACGACAAAGACACGGTGCATGCTTCGTAAAACCTGTAAGAAATGGTACATATTGTAACCTTTTTTTAGTAATAATACGGTATCATAAAACAACAACGTGGATCTTCAACGCGGTGAACATCTCAGATGTGATAAAAATTAGGTTAAATTTTATTTATTTTGTGGGGGTGGCGGGAGATAAAATACCAATAAGATCAACTGTCCGCATCACGATGTAAACGTTAGATTACATATGCCTACGACGATAAACAACATTACTACCTGCAAAGTCTAAAGAAGTCACACTATTTGCAAAACGTGCCTCCACAAAGGCTTATTCATTTTATGTTACAATAAATTACGGTAGCAGAGCGGCTGTACGGTAACAGATAATCAAGTAAAGTCGATGACCTGAGTATCAGATCATGGGAAACTTGACTGCTGAACACATGCTTGTAGAATGAGAAGTCACAGTGAGTTGTTTCGAACAAAACTCATCTACCTGTGACGCTACACATTATGCACACGAGATAATGAACAACTCTGTTTACGTGTACATGTAGTAAACTTGCATCACATTTAAGAGTATAACATACCGGTGTTTGGCTAGGAACCTGCAATATTATAAATTGGATACAATCAAAACCACTTTTTTCTTTGTGAATTTTACTTGGGAAGGTATTGGGAGACTTAGTGTAAAGAGGGTGCTAAAACTATAAAACAAAATGCTAAGTGAAAACTAAGAGTGGAATATGGTTCTCTACATACACTTTGTTACTCCACACAGCAGGGCTTCCCAAATATAGCAACCTTCATTCTTTCACTATTACTCACTTATCACCGACATAAAGCCCCTGAAGTTAAATGGCGCCATTAAAAATCCAAGTGACCAAATACATTTTATTTGTCCTTACCACAACTAATCCATCAGGTTTGGATTCACATTCTTGACAGATTTTTGGCGCAGCTTGTTTGAAGTATGGCGTAATAAATACCAAATATTAACTCGCTCTAATGTGAGTCCAGCTTTTGTAAAAAGTTATCCAATTTAACAACACACATTTTCGAAATGAGTTCTTTGCGATTTTTCGTGCATCGATATTTCGAAGTTTCAACATTCATTTCGATTGCTGCAAACCTAATAGTACAACGATTGCAACAGATATGATACTGGAGTATGGAAGTATTTGGTTGTGCATTTCGCCAAATTATAGCGTACATTTAATGAAATACACTGAAAATAAATTGACTGAAATGCCATCTTTAGTGCGATTATATTTGCAACCGTGGATATGCATACAGAAAAGGTGAACAAAACGTCGATGTATACAAATTGGTAGGGAGGAGGTTAAATTTCGTTTAGGAATCGCCAAAAGGAAATGCGATAGCTCAGTCGTTAACAGTGATTTAAGATATGGGCTAGAGCATATTAGCAGCAGAGGCATGCCCACCTTTTAGCTACTGGTCACCACAAATTCTTTAATATGGAATATGTAATATCAGGAGCATGATGCCATATTTCCACCTACCCACACTGGAAAGGTTAAGAAGGCGTGGATCTATATTCTTACATCTTCCATAATTCTTCAGGACTTTATGCTTCATTCAGACATAGAACTTTCACTAACCATATACTTGCCTGCAGGTCATTTCATGTAAACTAGGGGCATATACAAATGACAGGTTCATTCAACAACTTTTATTGTAAACTACCAACTATCGAAATCCACTAAGTAGTTTCTGGGAAATATGTGCAGATAACACAATTTATTGAATATAGTAATTTTACTTATTATTCTATGGGTATGAAACTCAATGTTTCACATTCTGGAGAAAACACTTCTTGAAGGTATTCGACAAGAGAGCTAAGAAGAACATCTGGACATGGTGCAGGGGAAGTAACTGGATGGAGAAAATTGTACAGTAAGAAGCTCCATAATATGTGCTTAGCACTAATTTTGGGGGCAATAAAGTCAAGCATGAGACAAATACATCTGAAGGACAAGAAATGCATGCAAGGCTCAAGTTACAAAACCTGAAAGGAAAAGACAATTTAAAAGTTCCAGTCATAGACAGAATAATATTAAAGTGAATGTCAAAGAAATAGGGTAGGAGGTTGTAGGCTGGAATCATCTGGCTTAGGACAGGGTCCAGTGCCAACTCTTTTGATTGCAGTAATCAGCATTTTAAGTCCACAAACGGGAAGGAATATTTTGAGTAGCAGAGTCACTAATAACTTCTCAAGGTCCCTGCACCATGGACTTCCCTATGACCTTAGAAAACTGAGGGCAATAACTTCTCATTATATGAAAGAGACATGGACACTGCTCAACTGACAGATTGGCTTTCCTCACTGTACGTTCTATATCCTGTTTGAGTGTGTAGGGGCAATTTACTAATATAGTCTCAATTTAAATTTGTTGTAATCACGAGTCACTCTATAGCACAGGATGAATTAACTTCTGCTGCTTCTTGCCTGCCAACACTTCAGGCCTCCAGAGAATATAGCAGTCTTCAACAAGAAGGACGAATAGTATGTTAGCATTATCAAATCAAAGATGAGATGACTGAGACAAGAAATCCATATAAAATTTTGGTTGGAGAACCAAAAACGGAGAGACCACGTGGGAAACCTAGGTACAAGTGGGATAATATTAAAACGGATCTTCACTAAATCTGGCTAAGGACAGGTTCCCGTGTTGGAATTATGTGCATAAAATAATGAATGTTTGGGGCCCATAAGAAGTGAACAATTTCTTTACAACCTCACAAACTAAGTTTCTCAAGAAAGCCCTGCCCCATGCTGTTTATGTTGTCTTCACAGCATATATCTTTCCTTTGCTGTAGTGGTTCGTCATTACTGAATTCCATAAAAGAAAAGGTTAAGGTACAAGATTTCTTTATGGCACTTCAGTTGGACTTCATCAATTGCCAGATTTAAAATATAAGATCTAAATAATAATTTCAGAGACTGGCTTTTTCTCCATCCTCAGGCAAAACACAAAGATAGACATATTCTGAAAGATAGACTTGAAATTATCCTGACGATGGTGTATACTGTACTTCTTTTGGACTTCATCCATCATCTGGTATGTAAAAGACAAAAGACCATAAGATTTTGGAGACTGGATCTGTCTCTGTCTTCAGGTGGGTAGGGAAGGATAAACCTACTCAGTTGGGCCCGTTAGAAAGAGCTAGGCTCAGTCACTTTCAATCTCTTTTTAACGGGCCCATTTATCCTTCCCTACCCACCTGAAGACGGAGACAGATCCAGTCTCCAAAATGTCGTGGTCTTTTGTCTTTTACATACCAGACAATGGATAAAGTCCAAAACAAGCCAAAAGAAGTACTATTCTGAAAGGCCGTTACATGTAGGTGTGTTATTTTACATTCTGCTCATACAAAACAGACCTTAGCAAAAGTTGCATAATTTTTTACAGCTCTATTGAAACAAAAAACTTTACAATCTTATATTACATGGTAATCTTTTCATTCTTACACCAGAAGTTCACATGACTGAAAGGCTGGTTATAGTGCATTAACAGGGTAGTAGTAAGGTCCTTGAAGGCATCCTGTTTATTCAAATTAGATGCAGTCTGTATCTCTCTAGGTGGCAGATAGTTTGAACACACAAGACAATGAAAGTAGAGTGTTATTTATTTGTATTCTGCATTACCAACAGTGTTAATTACCAGTAGACATCATAAACCACAAACATGAATAAGCAATTTTTCTACCATTGTACTGCTGGAAAAACCAGTAGATTGCATTAAACAGAGGTATAAATGTATATTTTTTTAAATCCTGTTACATATCAACAGTGTAAAAAATACTTTACATAAACCTAATTAATCTTGTTGGATCTACATTTTATGCCATGTACACATTTTAATGGAGCCAAGATGACTCATATAGTATAGTGACAAGGTTATGGCTGCCTGGGGAATTGGATTTTGATTCCTGGCAGGGGCAAGACTTTCCTTCTTCACAGCATTCAGACCAGTTCTCGGCCCCACTTGGTTTCCTATCCCATGGGTGCCATTGGTTACCTCAAGAATAAAGCAGACAGGGCTTGAAGCTGATCACTCGTCTCCATCTAGTGCTGATGTTAAGAACCCATGGTGCTATACATTCACTCCGCATACATCTTCATAGTGCGGTTATCAGGCACACAGAATTTAACCTTTATCTTCATGTTTTTGTACTATAAGTAGTTTCTGAGAAATTTCATGTAAGTATCTAATTTGATATTCAAGCAAAGAAAGACCTACACTGGAATGATATGGCTGAAACTAATTAGATCAAAAATATTTCTGTGGATACCTCCCAAATTTTATCAAACTCTAGATCTGGTTTTTCCTTACTTGTCCACGGTTTATATTTCAGATGTGGTTACCTGCAACTCCAAGTTCAGTCACTGGAAGGATCAACCATGCTGTGGTAATTGCAGTTGCATTACCAAGTGTTCTACCTTTGGTGCTTGCAGATGTCTTGGTTTGCCCTGATTCCTGCTGGTGTGACAGTGGTGATACAAAGTCAATTGCTGTATGCTGGGATCACAATCTCACTAGAATCCCTCAATATTTTGACAAGCAACTTCAAGAAATTGCTCTAATGTTCAACAGTATCACCGTAATAAATGACTATGCTTTTCATGGACTTTCAAACGTCTCAATTATGTTATTGCAATATAATGGCATTAGAGAAGTTCATGAACAGGCTTTTGATGGTCTAGTCAATTTGACATATTTGGATTTATCACATAACAAGATTGTAAAGATACCACCAACAGTTATTCGGAACAATGAAAAGCTGGATTTTTTGTACTTAAACCATAACGAGATATCAATATTAGGGCCATTTTTATTCTCTGTATCACTTTCTGTCCTGGATATATCATTCTGCAAAATAACATTTCTACCACATGACGCTTTCATTGGGACTCCAAATTTAATGAAACTGAAAATAAATGATAATCATATTACTGAGTTTGAAATATATGCCTTTCGTGGGCTCAGAAAACTGGAGGCCTTGAATTGTGGAAATAATTTAATAAAAGGCTTAAATTCAAATTTGTTTTTTGGTTTGGATGATCTGAAGTATGTAGACTTCTCCAATAACAGTATTTCAGTCATATCACCACGGTTATTTGCATATAATAGAAAATTGCGATATCTGTTCCTGAAGAATAACAGTTTATCAATACCTAACACAGGACCAATCCTTATATCCGAATCTCTCTCTCATCTTGATATTTCATTCTGCAACATAACATCCATATCGTCTGAGGCTTTCATTAATCTTACCAATTTAACTTCATTACGAATGATTGGAAACCCATTAAGGCACTTGAATACAAAAGCAATGGAACCACTGAATAAACTACAGGTAATTTTGTTTGGTCCAGATGCTAGTTGCAGTGAATCATCTCTCAAAAATATATTTAAATATTTCCAACAGAAATCTGTTTCATATTATGCTCCTCCTCTGTGCAGTATAGATTCTGCTGTAACTAAACCAACGATCTTTTACTCATCACACCCATCACCTACTATGCCTCCTAGTCAAATTCTGCAAACCAACATTTCTGATATAATATTCCATAGCAAACACCCACCGTCAATCAGTAATTCATCACAACTGAAAGTACTTGTCCATGTCACACATGAACACACAATCCTTATATTAGCAGTCTCTTGTATTCTCAAAATCTGTAGATGAAATGCAAATTTCATGGACTAATCTTCGAGATAATGACAAAACGTTGCAGCAGCTAATATCTACTTAACCCTCAGAAGACTTCTTTAGATGATAAACCCACCTGCCTCTGTAGCTACATTTAAAATGGGAGGAAGTCCCTGCTGTTGCAACACTCTTATTTTTGGATATTCTTTGGTGTATATTGATAAATAAAATGCATTAGTTTGTCAAAGCACTGGGACAGCTCAGTTGGTATGGTAACTAGGCTATTAGCTTGATAACAGGGGAATTATGGTTTGATTCCTGGCAGAAACAAGAGATTTCCGTCTTCTGCACACTCTCCAGAATTGCCCTGAAGCTCACCCAGTCTCATGTCAATGGGTACCAGGGGCTCCTTCCACAGAGGGTAAAGCAGCTGAAGTGTGAAGCTGACTACTCACCTCCACCTAGTGGTGGGGTTAACAATGCATGGAGCTATATGCCACTCCCCCATATCTTCATGGCAAGGTGCTTAATTAAACAAATGGATAACATCATCTTTATTTTCTTCAATAAAATCACATGAGAGAATAAACCTGCCATCAGTTGGTTACAAGATTAAATACTTGCACAATCAAAGTGTTAACTTTAAAATGTCTCACAGACATTGTACAACTGTACAGAGTGGCCAACCATATCTCAGCGATGATGTTAGTCGACAATGGGCTAAAGACCATGAAGTTCTACCAGCCATAGCTAAGAAGTATATTCAGTAATGGATGCAATTGTAGACAGGGAAAATTACATGGATGGAAACACTAGGTGATAAATTCTGGGCATTTGCTGGAAATACTTAATTTCTCATCTTGAGATCATTTCCATGCTATGCAGCAAACCAAATGCGCACTGCAATGCCTAAGCTGGTAAAATGTAGTATTAAAGGGAATTTTAAAATTCTCTAACATCACCATTTAGTGCAATTAAATGACAAAGCACTCTGTTGTGTTTGTCAAGTGAAACAAGAAAAATTATTTTTTTATGAAAATTAAGACAATTTATAACTAAATTACATTACAGCCACAGTTCCATTACCCTTAAAATATTGTGGAATTCATATTATTGTCACTTGCTGATTTTTATGAATAAAGTACAATGTACAATCAAGCATATTCTTATTTTAATTTTACCATTTATTCCTTTAATACATAGTACTTCAAATTAGCAAAAACTAGTATTTTGAAGATAACTATACTTTGGGATGTGACATGATGTAGTCTGGTAGAATGATACTGGCTTCGGTAGGAACCTCCTGCTTCCTTCTTCAGTATAGAGTTCATCCAAATCACCAGGACCTTTCTACCAGATATACGGCATCACATCCAAAAGACGGGAACCCTCATACATACAGTTGTGAGATCCTCAAATTTCACAATGAACATCTTTTTCATCTTCAAAGATCAGGGCAAAATAAAATTAATGAGCTGTATGTAAGAAACCATTTAATGAAGGTAATTTCTAATTGTAAACAATTCTTTATTAAGGGGCCCATACACGTACGAGTCTGGCTCGTGAGTCCGACTTGGCTCGGGTTCCAATGAGCCAAACTCGTCCGTGTGTGAGTTGCCACGAGACCTGCTGGGCTCTCTATTGATTTGTACAAGGGTAATTCCAAAAGTAAGGTCTCCTATGTTCGAAAATATAAAATAAACATTTATTTTCAATTTTGGATACATCAGTTGAATCTTGAACATGTACTCATTTCTCTACATAATCGCCATTTCGGTCGATGCATTTTTGTAGGCGCAGTGGCAGTTTTTGTATGCCCATGTCATACCAGTTCACCTCCATGCTGTTCAGGAAACTTCGAACCTCAGCTTTCACCTCATCGTCGTCGTTGAAGCGCTTTCCAGACAAATGTTCTTTCAACTTTGGAAAGAGATGGTAGTCACTGGGCGCCAAGTCCGGACTATAGGGTGGATGGGTGATGATGTTCCATCCAAACTGTTGCAGTTGAGCAACGGTTTGTCGGGCAGCATGGGGGCGAGCGTTATCGTGGAGAATGCTTACGCCCTTGCTCAACATCCCTCTTCTCCGGTTCTGAATCGCCCGCCTGAGTTTTCTCAGTGTCTCACAATATCTCTCAGCGTTTATTGTGGTCCCAGTTTCCATAAAGTCAACCAACAATACCCCGTTTCGATCCCAAAACACAGTTGCCATGACTTTACCGGCAGACTGTGTTTGCTTGAATTTTCGAGGCTTAGGCGAAGAGGAATGCCGCCACTGACGTGATTGTTGTTTTGTCTCAGGTGTGAAGTGGTACGCCCAGGTTTCGTCGCCTGTGACAATTGAATTCAAGAAGTTGTCCTTTTCGTCAGCATAGCGGCGAAGAAATTCACGGGAAGAGTCAACTCTCTGCCGTTTGTGGTCTTCCGTGAGCATTCGCGGGACCCATCTTGCGCACACCTTCCGATAATTCAACTTCTCTGTCAAAACCCGATAAATGGTGGTTTGGGAAACCTCGGGAACCGAAATGCAGAGATCATCGAGTGTGATGCGCCTATCCTGACGCATGACTCGCTCAATCTTCGCGACTGTCTCGTCAGAAATTGACGATCTCCCAGTTCTTTTTTCGTCGTGTATTGCAGTATGACCAGATTCAAACTCCCTACACCACTTGCGGACGTTCTTTATGTCCATGCACGACTCGCCATACACGTCCACCAATTGACGATGAATTTCAATTGGTTTAGTCCCTTTTGCGTTCAAAAACCGAATAACTGCGCGAATCTCACACTTCGCGGTTTTAGTAATCGGGAGCTCCATTTCTAACGGCAACCGTGCCAAGACTGAGCGTCCTAGCTATGTGCGCGCATGCTTGGTGGTAGTGGAGGGAGTGGGGGAAGCAACAAATGCAACAGGGTTGCCAATAGCCACACGAAAAATTACCCAGCGCTTTGGAGACCTTACTTTTGGAATCAGCTACGTATGTGTGTGGGCGGTCCCGAGCCAGACTCGTGTATCTACATGCCACACGAACAGACAGTGTGATGAGTTGTGGTACTACGGAGGAACCATGTCGGCTTCCATGTGTAACAAAACATTCATAAGCCCGGAGTTTTTGACAGTTTTTAGAAGTGTAATGAGAATCTGTTAAAACACAGGAAGTAGGTTCATATAAGGGGCTGCGACTAGCTTGACAGAGCTATTTAAATAGGGTAGGCTGTATAAAGTAAAGCACACGATTTAAGGATCTCTCAAAATTTATTTTGAAACTATCAGCTGAAATAAGCTAATGTAAGCTACTGTGCAGCCAAAGATGCTACCGGACTAATCTGTTGCCCACCATTCTGTTTTGAAATGGTACCTTTCCTGGCCCATTGAAGTATTCAACATACTTATCTCGACTGGCAGACACTTCCGTAGCAGGAGTCACCTGGCGCACACTGCAAATCATATCAAAATGTCCTTCAGGTTGCTCATTCCTCCAGTCACCTTCAACAACATCTGTGTCTTCTAAATCTTCTCTGTCCAGCATTGAACCTGGAGTATACTGGGTTCCATGGTTCCTTCTAAGAAAGTTGTGTAGAACAACACAAGCCATCACAATGTCATTCACTTTCAATGGCTGCATATTAATCGTTGTATGAAAAATACGAAAACGTGCTGCAAGCACTCCAAATGCGTTTTCTGCACATCGTCGTGCGCGGGATAATCTGTAATTGAAAATTTGTTTTTCATGGGTCAGGTCTTTACAGGGGAAAGGTTTCAAAATGTTTTCCCTCAGCGCAAAAGCCTCATCTGCAACAAAAACGAAGTTCATATTCCCCACGGTATCATCATTTTTCGGAAGGGCAAGTGCGCCATTCTTCAATGTTCTGTAAAACGTTGTCTCTTCTATTCCACCTCCATCTGAAACTCTTCCATTACATCCTACGTCGGCCATAATAAAAGTCAGGTTGGCATCTACAAGTCCCAGCAAAACAACACTATGGTATCCCTTGTAGTTGAAGTAGTATGACCCTTCATTGGCAGGTTTAACAATAGCCACATGCCTACCATCCAAGGCACCACCACAATTGGGGAAGTTCCACATTGATTCAAAATCCTTTGCAATATTCTGCCATTCTACTGAAGAGGTTGGGAACTGGAAAAAAGAAAATATTTCAGGATACTAAACCTAAGTTGTTATAAAGATATTAATAAAAGATCTCTGCTACTAACTACTGCTATTGCTAGCCTCCAGCATGTAATAACCATAATGAGTAAAAATGAAGGTCTTCTGAAGAGGAAACGTTTAAACAAGTTTCACTATTTAATTCAAATAATTGTCATTAACACATAGGATATACTATGTCATACAATTTTGAAAAGCTGGGGGGGGAGATGGAAGTACAAACATATTTCCCGCGAGGCTAGCGGCAGGAAAGTTGAGAGTGAGCTCAATGGCCAGAACAACATAATAATGAGAATGCAACAATGACCGTTCTGGTCACACCTAGATACTGGGGGCTAGCAGGGAAGCTAGTTACACATTTGTTTTTTTAAAGCAACCGGTCATCCCAGAGCCGACTAATGCACTCTCCGGTTAAGTTTTCATTTTGTTTCAGGATGAAGCAAGGGAAGGCGAGATAACTCAAACTTTTTCTTACTGCTAGTGGGGTGGGACTAAGTCCTTTGCACTGCGGCCACTTCTGGCCTATTGTACCAGCCCCAGATGATAGGTGAGGGTGATTGTGGAGCAACTGATGGAATGAAGATTGGCAGGGGAAACCAAAGTACTCAGAGAAAACCTGCCCTAATGCCACTTTGTCCACCACAAATCCAACTTGACCAGATCCGGGATCGAACCCAGGCCGCTGTGGTGGGAAGCCAGCGACTAACTGCTTGCGCTATGGTACTACTCAAACGTTAGATGAAGGTGAACAAACTTCGGACAGGGTATCGCAGTCTCCATTTCCCAAAAAGAAGAAAACCTCTTCAAAAACTTCTAGGAGTGTCCATGCTGAAGAAAAACAGTTCCAGACTCTTATTCAAAAGGCAATGGCTGTATTTAACCAGCAAGATGATGAATAGGACGCCCTAGGGAAAACGTACGCTGCAAAACTGCGTCTCATGCCCGCCACTCAGAGGGACACTGCTGACAAATTGATTATGTTCTGTTTAAAGGTCTGCAGAGTAATCTTACACCTTTGACTTTTATTTCTGATTATGGGTATATAACTGGTGCCTGGAGGTCAAGTGATACACCCTCTCCATTGTCCACGTACTCAAAACCAATTCCATCAGCAACTCCAGGTCCATCGAACTACCCAGTACACTCCCCAAAACAGGACCCGGGAACTGTATTTCCTCCCTACTGACTGTATTCAATATTAGGTACATATTTAAAATGTTCTTACCTTCAAATATTCGTCTTTTAGAGCCTTGTATATAGCCTTGCAGGTCTCTGGAATTATCTTTCCCAAAGCTTGAGGTGATATAATCGTGGCAAACTTGAGATCTTCAAATGACCATCCTGTGGCAAGAAAACGAAGAGTCGCTGCTATACGTGCTTCAGGTGTAATAGCATTCCGCATCACAGTATCTTGTTTCACTATGAATGGTTTTACTTTTGCTAGCAAATACCTGAAGTTTTCATCTGACATTCTGAAGTAGTTTTTGTAGTCGTCAGGTCTATCATTTCTAATAAAGTTCAATAAATTTAAATGTGTAAATCTGTCTCTACTTAACAACCAGTTCTTAGCCCACATTTCCCTTTTTTTTCTATTCTTTTTTCTCCTGAACACACCACATTCATCTAGTATTATCACCGCTGCTGCAACTTGCTTCGATGAAATCATTCTGGATACTGAAATGTACAAGCAAGGTTGGGACTCAGCTCGTGCGTGTGTGGTGAAATTAATCTCAGCCTGGCTCCCGAGTCAAGCTCGCCAAGCCGGACTCACGAGCCAGACTCGTATGTGTATGGGCCCCTTTAGAGTCCGTTGCAACACAACAATACAATGGTCAAGACTAAAATTAGCTTAGCTACATGTTTTGGCTATTAAAGTCATCATCAGGCAAATGCATGATTATCATATTCACACACTACAAAACTGCAAATGCAATGGTGAAGCTGGATACTCGATAATTACTCGAACATTATAAAATACATGGTATAAAAAATACAATGAACTATAAGCTTATTATAAAAACGAAAGTTATGGCATAAAACAAGGCTAAAAACTCTTCATGTGATATTTCATATAATCAAGTCAGTTGCTGCAATTTTGTTATATTCCTGCGGCCATAATGGCATATTCTAGACTTGTATACATGTAATAGACTGCTTGGAGGCCCGTGGTATAGATGTAGTATAGTTTTGACATTAATTGTTTAGCTGGTGCCTCATCTTACAATGTATTTAGTCTGTTCTGTAGGGAATATAGATTGCAACTCAATAGCTAAACATGTAGCTAAGCTAATTTGAGCCTTGACCATTGTATTGTTGTGTTGCGTCAGACTATAATAAAGCATTGTATATAATAACATAGCAGGATGCACAAAATGAAAATTCTAATTGTAAGTTTGCATTGTACTCTACTGTATATGAACAAAAAATTATTATTCAGTAGCTGGAAGTAAATATTCTACCTGAAATGGCATGTAAACTAGTGACTGTTGAGAGCAACAGAAATATTTTTAATGCAATGATCACACCTTGATATAATCTTTTTCTTCAGACATTTCCACTGTGTGTAGATCACTTATTACGTATATGTATTATCTGTAACAATGGCCATATAAAGCATGTGAAGTAAGAAACTGATGTGATTTTTTTGTGAAAGATAAGAATCCTTCCAATTTTTGAAAAGGAATAAAGTAAAATTAGTTTTCTGTATGATTCCATTTAACTCCAATGTTTAATCATAATTTACATCAAAGAAACAATTTATCCACTACAATGTATTTTATCTGGCTTGATTTTTGTACTTTGAAACAAAGAAATTTTAATTTATGGTCTACTATTGATGTTATACCTTTAAGTAACCTTTAACTCTACATTGCAATTCCTATATATTGTATTATTCTAATGGTATTAACCTGTAAAAATATACCTGTATGTATATTTGTAATTACCTGAGGAACTAAAATGCTACTTAAATTGGGTGGTAGGCATGTTAGCACCAACTGACCTGCTTGGGATACTGCAAAATATTTATCTTTTAACCTCTGTGGAGGTTATCTTATTAAACATCCGCTTGTGGGATATATGTCATAGCCTTGTGAAACTGCTTATACCAATACTTATGTTTTCGTTAAGTTACTTCTATGTTGTATATAACATTTATTAGTGGTCATTTATAACTGTGTAACTATTTTTTACATTCCCTAATTGATAATTTTCGATTTTTTTAATTAGAAGTATGCGAACTACGAGAATTTCAAGTAAACAGCAACACACAAACCACACAGCAAAACCTTGATCCTAACTGAAGACCTCTAATATATCGAAAGAATACAGCTTTCACTCCGAATTTCATATCCCTATTATCAGACATCAGGTTAAGCTAGGCCTTGGCTACAGTAAGCTATACCAGGCCATGGTCCGTTCGAATCCTAAGCAGATACCGACCGATACCGACGATGTGCCAATACGCCGTGTGCTCACAGTCCTTGGCGGTACATGGAACTTTCCATATTCCGTGGTATCTATACACACTGATCGGTGCCGGTTTTGCATAGGTTGTGAGCGTTGTGAGGTGAGGTTATGTTAGAATGGTAGTAGTTTATAGTGAGATTTATTCTAGTAAAGGAGCAGTTAATTGATTATCATTAATATTTAAGGTATAATGTGGTATTATGTGCAACGGTATTGAGGTTTATGAGTTGTATGAGACTTTTTAAGTCAGCCACTTAATATCTGATTCAAAACATGAAACGTAGAATTTTCGGCAGGACGCCCAGTTTGATGTTATACTATTCGGCCAGCTATCACTGTAAGATTTTATGTTTCTAGGCCAGAACTGAATTGGCGGTCGCATGTAATATTGAAATTACGAAAAATGACGTGAACTTTCCTACTCAGAATAGAATGCTATCTGCTAAATTCGGTACTTGTAGGAATTTTATGCAGTTCACTCTGGTGAGTGATTTTTTGTGATGTAGGAGTTTTATATGGGTCGCATTTGTGTTGTATTCTGTTACTCGTTTTTGAAGGACAGATTTGCACATCATGCATGGAATCAAAGATGACCGAGAAGATAGTGACGGAGAAGAGATGGAGCATGAATCAGGAGAATCTGATAAATCCAGTTCCAGCTGTGACAGTAGCGATGCACCATCAGATTCAGATGACAGTTCAGGTACAGAGTTATTGTATAATGCTACATGAAATCGAAAATAAAATATTGGGTACTATGAGTGACATTAAAAATTTATTAGGGGAAATAATTTTCAGAGATGGATGAAGAGGAATGTGAGAGACGACGAACAGAATGCATGGACAATTTAGTCGATTTAGAAAGGCAGTTCACTCTCCTTCGAGAACAGTAAGTGTTATGCTGATACAGTTGATAAAGTAAATATTTTTGTTAGAAATATAATTTACTATTTCTTAATTTCAGTCATGTGTCTTATTCTGGCACCATTAATCATTGTATGTTTTATTTATAAGCATAAGTTGATTTATTATCTCTCAGTTTATGTAATAAGTTCATTGACAATAAGTAACAGATTCCATGCGGGCACACCAAGCATGTTGACATAGCAGTAATGTTATAGACATATATTCAGGATGGACTAAAGTTTAAATCTTGGCCAGAACACCAGCTATACTGAGGATTTTTAGGGTTTTCGTGCCATTAGACTTAGTTACACAGTAGTCAACCACAAGTTGCACCAAACCTGGATTTCACAGATTAAATTGCATTCACTGTTGTCTTTCATATAAAGAACATATTTAAATGCTAATAAACTTTCCTATATTTAGTACACATTTCAAGTATAATTTCCAAATACAAATTCTTAAGTTAGCATTGTAGTAATTTTTCAGTGTTCACAGTAAAGCACGTTTTTATTGATCATCATGCTGTATCCTTGATTGAATTTTAATCAGATTATATCGGGAACGTATTACTCAAGTAGACACCAAGTTAGGTGAAGTACGATGTGGACGTGCACAAGAATACCTGCAACCACTGGAAGAGCTACAAGAAAACATGAGGATTCGTACAGAAGTGGCAGGAGTTTTACGTGAATTTCGACTCACAAACATTCGTAATAAATTTGAGGCTGAGGAATTGGCAGCGTCACAGAACTATGAGGTATTTATCCTCGATAGTTTACAGTACATGAAGATCTAATGTTAGTAGCGTGAATCAAATGAAAGTTAGGGAGCATGTCAAATCAAGGGCAATTTCAGTTAGATCTTGTGTTCCATATGGTATCTTGGAATTTCTGGAGTAAGCAGCAAGCAGGTATTATTGCTGTTTGCTTAACTTAACTCTTGGCCCTGAAGATTAAAGCAGGATTTTCCTCTGTAACATTGGTAAACTTGTACATGGTATCATATTCCAGAAAATATTACTCCACATAGTTAAATTACCTTAATTTAACTGTTGTAAACTATTTGTGAATATATGTAACATTTTAACAAGTCACGGGTCACAGAAATTTTAGAATACGTTAATTGAATTTATCCCATTTTAGAGTGAAAAATGCCTTTTGTGGGACTCCATACATGGTGACCTAGAAGATAAAATCAGGCACTTGGAGGAAGATCGCAACAATGTTGACATCAGTGCTGACCTCTGGCTGGTAGAGCAGAGTTACAACAGTGCTGGCAAGATAATTAGGCGTGGTGCTGGAGGTACAGGAAAGATGACAGACTCTCTCAACTCGTCCCGCAAGAAGCCAGTCACTGTCTCTGGTCCATACATTGTCTATATGCTTAATGATGCAGACATATTGGAGGACTGGACTGCCATCAAGAAGGCGCTTTCTGTATCAAAGAGGAAATCAGAATGTAAGATATTATATAATGCTTTTCATACTTGAAAACTGATGTAACTGAAGTATTGGGTACTTCACATACATAGAAAGTGAAACTTACTTAGAGTGTAATTCAAAGGGACAGAAAGTTTTTGAAGTTCCCTGCTTCATAAGGGGTCTTATCTTCTCCTCTTAGCGTCATTTGTTTTATACAAATAAAAATGGATAAAAGTCTCCAGACTCTACCCCTCTTCCCACAGTCTTTTCTTTTAGATTTCTTGGCACTTCTTTCATCTCTCCTTGATGTCTTACAGTATGTAGGATTTCAGGCTTTAAAGGGTTAAGAAAACTGCAGTTTTTGAGGACTGTTTTGAATGGCATAAAATATGCTGATTTTTGTGTTTGGGCCAGAATGTGATACTGGCATTAATATAGACTCTTTAGTTTTTCACCCAATCTCAGCAGCTTGTAGAATATATATAAAAACATGTAAAGTAAGGAAATTTTAAATTGAAACTTAAGATAGTGCATTTTCTTTTCAGTACATATTTGACGGTAATGTATTCAGGGCTGAACCTGTTGAAGGCTGGCATTGATTGATGAACGTTGAATGAAGGTTAGTTATCTATCAGGTACGATGGTTTCCCATGACAGCAGTGAACTGTGAACAAGAATTAAACATAGAGAAGTACCGGGAGGGCTTCAGAATTAGCAGCTTCAGCCATATGGCATCACATGATTGGATGATAGTGAATAATGAACCAGGAAGGATCTGGAAGGGATCAGTTGAGGCCTAAGTTACGGTACTATTGTTGTGGCATTTGCCTGGAGAGACTTTGTAAAACCATGAGAAAAATCATTCAGGATAGTCTATCTGAGCCAATATTTGAACCAGGCACCTGTTGAATACAGGTCAGAAGTATTACAGTTTGTGCCGACTTGCTCAGTATTAGAATAATCTGTATGTATTACTTGACCACGAAGTATGAAATCTGTCATTTTTAATGTCGTTTTATGTAATATGTTTTGTATTTTATTATCTTTCATAGCTCCCGAACTGTTAGATGATGATGATGATGATGAAGCCATAGTTTTTGTACTACTGAACTTCAGATGCAAAATGCAGATAAAAAGTGCACAAAACATGAGTCTCATTCTTTATTATGCATGCGGAGTCTCAGTTAAGACCTACGCCATGAAGGTGTATGGGAGACTGAGGTGTAGCTCCATGTATTCTTAACCCTGGCACCAGATGGAAACGAGTGATCAGCTTTGTACTGCAGTCACTTTACCCAACAAAAAGAGCTTTCAGTACCCACTGGATGGGTCAAAGTGTAAAGCCTGGACACTGGAGAAGAGAATATTCTCATCCTTTTGCTGGGAATAGCCCCCGCCCCAATTCTTTGGTTACTAACTTGTGGCCCAGTAACTATATCGACTGAGCTAAATCGACTCTTGCTCATGATGCAATACAAATCTAATTTGCATCATACAACACTTCTCTTATTTGCTTGAATGAATAGAGCTCATATAATGAGGGATGAATATCTTGTATGTACCATCTGTAAATTTCTGTCCTACAGAATTATGTTTGGTTTGCACTTGGGCCACGTAAAATTATGAGATAAGACAGATGTGTTGGAAGAAAACTGGCTTTCAGGCATGAAGCAGCTGACCATTATTATGGCCTACTCATACACAAAAATGACTCTGATTTGTTTAACTCTGAAAAGAAAATAAATTAAGAATGATGTGTTGTATGTTGATGTGTCCCATGTCCTCTATCACTTGTTTTGATATTAAATTACAAGGTTCTTAAACACAAGGAGTATCTTAAAAATGAAGTTAAATTAAATATTAATATAGTACATTTCGGAATGCTATCATTTATTACAATTGTATGTACATAAACTGTACATTAACAAATGTATCAGATGTGTGTACGCCTTTAATAAAATAATTTATAACAAGGGTCTGTGAATTCTATACATAAATTCCCTGAATAGGTAACTTGTGGCCTGGAAAGCAAATGAAGACAAGGATGTAGGGATAGTTACCAGAACAAACGCTTGACAGTTTTGTTCCCTTTTGGTTATGTCTTGGGTTCTATAATCTGGTAAGCACCTAGCCTTACATTTTGTATGCTGAATTGCATTCATTTCACATGGAGTAAATATGGAATGTGGCATTATACTCAAGGAACTAGAATTGAACTGTAGTGTAAAAACCAGAGTACAAGAATTATAGAAGTTAAATCACTTAAAACCAGTATGATGAATTCTCATGCACTACTTCTGACAGTAAAAAGTGTGAATATGTAGATTATATATGCTTCTCTGGAAGTCTAGTGTCTTCTGACACAGGAGGTGAGGTAAGTGGTATGTGGTTGACTCTGACCTCACTACTGTTCATTTAGAGGGAAACTGAGCTTCACTGGCTATGGTCATCTGGAAATTGCACCAGTTTCCTCAGCTTGCATTTGTGCAGGCCATGCTAGTTACTATCATGCCTGTCTCAGAAATCATCCTCACTAGCTCTTTCTCTCTTGCCAGATGGTCAGGCAGCAGTAAGCAACACCATAAATGTTGACATTAGCAAGAAAGAGAGATGGTGTTCTGTATTAGACTTTAAATGAAACAAAAATTTGGAAACTATATTAGGTCATGTTACCTTGGGTAACATTACAGAATTCAGATAGTTCTCATTATGAATAATCAGTAGCTTTCTCTGTTTTCTAACAGTTGATTTGGAATGAACAATCTGTTGTAAACATGGTGCCCACTGGAAGATACTGAAATTTGGAACATATCCTGACCACTGTCATATGTACTAAATCAGTGGCTCTCAACCTTTGTGAGACCGCAGCCTGGTAATTCTTTTTTTTATAAGACAAGGGCCTGGTATAATTGATGCCACGGCCCGGTGGTTGAGAAACACTACTAAATCCCCACTCCTCAAATTTCTGTGACGTACTTCTAGTGTACATCATTTGGTGAATCCTTAAAGACTGTGTTTTTCAGGTGTTCATAAAAGTTAAGATTTAACCTAGGAACATTTGGTTTTCTGCACTACAATGGAAAAAGATATTAATCACACTAAAAACATTCAAGTGGCAAAAATTTCAGTGTGCAAATAATTCACCATACTGGAGATCTTGTTGAAGAGAGGACTTTTCTTCCATGGAGTTGTCTACTCAGTGTGTGATGTACCCTTAAAGATGTTTTAGACAGACAATACTATGAAGTGTTAGCTAATCCATTTGTTTCCAATTAAATATTTAAATAAAATAGTCTCTAGTGGAACTTAAGTGTGTTAACTAGCATACCTAATAATTTGCATTTCAAATATGAATGCTCCCATAACAAAGGTTGAATGTATAAATTTATTACAGTGAATTTAAAGTAATATCACATAATAACAGAGATATCTTACCTCAGAAATGGTTCAAGCATAACAATTTTTTTTTACAAAAATGAAGCAAAAAATACATATACATCTGGTGGATTATCATTATTTAAAAAGACACGTAAAAGTACAACAGTTGTTTCTAAACTGCCGACATCTTTACAACATGTGCACCCATACATTCATGGCCATAATCCTACATCTGTGACTATTGAGGTTTTTTTTTTTACTTTATCTGTCATCAGATATCCTAATGAACAGAACGTTCTGGAAACTGAATTTGTTTCTGTGCTCATGTGAAAGGGTGGGAGGCACCTGCTGAGTTGGGTCCAACAAGGAGTAAACCTCAATCACTAGTCCAGTGACTGTCAGCTCTTTCTAATGGGCCCAACTCAGCAGGTGCCTTCCCTCCTCATCTGGGCATGGGAACAGATCTAGTGTCTGAAATTTTGTGCCAGATGATGGATAAAGTCCAAAATTTCAACAATCCAGAGTGTTAGACACCACCGTGAGAAGTCTCAGAACTGAATAATCCTACGTTTTTTCAGTGGAGCACCATTTCCTATGCAAGTATCACTGTGTCAAATTAACATCCAAATGAGATAACAACAAAGGCAAGTTACACTCTGAAAATGGTGTAATACATAAAACTAGATATGACAGTGGAACCATGAATTTAGCAATCTTTGGATCTACTGTTATGCAATATTTAATATACAGTGAAACACCCATTTAAGATTTCTTTGAGGGAGAAATGGATTTGAACATTAAAGTGAAGAAAATAATAAATGGATAAGAATGAATACTGATGGTATTGGCTTTGGGATCAATGAAATTAAATGCTAAATAAGGGAAAACCTTAAACTGGGGCCCCACTGTACTAAACAATTCTTAGTATTAACCTTTATCATTATAATTTAGGAGCTATAAATCTCCTAGTACTACAAGGCTGCAGCCATATTTTAAATTTGAAGTTGAATGTATAAGGGGTGGGCCTTCTCAGCCCTTGCACTGCGACCTACAGTGATCTACTGTGCTTTAATAATTTATTATCCAGAAATAGGTAATTTTAAATCTCCTGCTTCTACAAGTGTGGTGGCCATATTTTAACTTGGAGGTTAATGGCAACAGTATTAAAAAAAACATCTGGCTCAAACAGTGTGCTGATGCAATAATGTAATGCATGGCCAATAGAAGTTAATGCAGTTAATTGGTTCAGTGAAAGACACATGAAGGATAATTTGTGTTCCCAGGCAATGTAACAAGAAATTTTGTGGGTTTCGGATTTGGTGAATAATTTATTGGACACTCACAAATACAATTATTTGCACTTATGAAGTCTTTGGTCGTTTCCTCTTCAGTGTTATACTCTCGTACCGTTAATGTCAGTGAAGTGTCTTCTGCTCTGCTCAGAGCTCAACTGTTCTTAGCTCTCATCTAAGCTAAACTGACTGGTCTCTTGCTGAAGTTGGACTGTTATATTCTACATTCGGGCTGAATAGGAAACACCTTGTCGAAGGGTTCAGTTTCACCCACTGGTATGCAAAGGACTCTTTTGTTGCCGTGGGAATACATTATTCCTGCTGATATGCAAATGATTTACTTGTTCCCGCAGGAAAACATGTGTACTGTCTCAAACAATTTGTTGCTTAGATACTGCTAGCCTCCTATTTTTTACTAACATATCTGTCAATAATACAAATTTAAAAAGACGTTATGAATATGTTGTTCACTAAAAATGCATTTTAATACTACGGCAGTTGAAATCAGTAAAATGCCCCTAGGCCTTTACGTAGTACATAAATTTACACATTGAAAGTGAATGTTCACACTCCTCAATTTGTCTTGGTTTTACATGTATTTTTTACTAATTTATATTCAATGTTTTGACCTCATTGGGCCATCATCAGGTGAATTCTATCCTCAAGTGAGACCACTGCACTGTATTTGTTTCCCATGCTTCTGTCATGCACGTCGTTATTTACTTCATGCTAGTTGTTAAATTTCATTTTTATCCGGCTATTTTGCTATACTGGTAGACCACAATGGGGTCACTAACATAGGGAAACAAGGCGACAAACTGATGAGAGCCGCAAAATAGCTGCACAAAAATGAAATTTAACAACTAGCATGAAGTAAAATAAAGACGTGCACGAGAGAAGCACAAGAAACAAATACAGTGCAGTGGTCTCACTCGAGGATAGAATTCACCTGATGATTGCCCAATGAGGCCGAAACATGTTGTGAATATAAATTAGTAAAAAATACATGTAAAACCAAGACAAATTGAGGAGTGTGAACATCACTTTTAATGTGTAAATTTATGTACTACGTAAAGGCCTATGGGCATTTTATTGATTTGAACTGTCATAGTACTAAAATGCATTTTTAGTGAACAACACATTCCTAATGTCTTTTTAAAGTTGTATTATTGATGGATAGGTTAGTAAAAAATAGGATGATGCCTCAATACAATGGGATGCTGAAATATAATATAATATTGCTAATGTTATATTTTAGCGTCCTGTTGCACTGCTTCACGTTCATGATGTGTATTTGTACCAACTGTCTTACAGTGCACACAATTTCACCTTTCTCTTCACTACATGTTTCGGCACTAATGTGCCATCTTCGGGTATGGTTTTATTTACGTCAAACCATTGCACTGTATGCCATCATGTCTCCTTTACAAAATGATTAAAAGGTATATATATCATGTATAATAATAAAGTTTATATATTAAAACTTTTCAAGATTTATCATCTATATGTCGCACTTCAATTCGCGAGTTACGTCACTCCTCTCCTATGGGAGTACTCTTCCTATATTCTTGTGTATATTGTGTCCTGCGTTGTGTCCTTCCCTTGTGACTGCATGCATTGTATTGCTGGATATGTGTAATGTCCTTCCATTTTAGTACGACACACATCCAGCAATACAATGCACGCGGTCACAAGGGAAGGACACAATATACACAAGAATATAGGAAGAGTACTCCCATAGGAGAGCACTGACGTAACTCGCGAATTGAAGTGCGACATATAGATGATAAATCTTGAAAAGTTTTAATATATAAACTTTATTATTATACATGACATATATACATTTTAATCATTTTATAAAGGAGACATGATGGCATACAGTGCAATGGCTTGACATAAATAAAACCAAACATGAAGATGGCACATTAGTGCCGAAACACGTAGTGAAGAGAAAGGTAAAATTGTGTGCACTGTAAGACGGTTGGTACAAATACACATCATGAACATAATATTGCTAGCCTCCTTGTAACAATGGAAACCCCACTTTGAGACTTTCATCTCTGGGACAACGATTTCCCAGGCATTGCTTTCTCATTGTCTGCTGTGTAGCGATGGATGTCTTATAGTCCGGCTCTCAGGCAGCACATCACAATATTTTAACTTGGAGGTTAATGGCAACAGTATAAAAAAACATCTGGATCAAACAGTGTGCTGATGCAATAATGTGATGCACTGCCAATAGAAGTTAATGCAAAAGATTAATTTTGGTTCAGTGAGAGACACATGAAGGTTAATTCATTTTTACAGAATTATGTAGAGTGTGATGTTCCAGGCTGGAGAGAGTCTGACATTCTGGAGGATCATACTGCCTCCATCTTCAGGGTCAAAGAGTAAGCTATGCTGAGTCTGTCACCTGTTTCTGATGGTTTCTTGCTTGGCTTATTCCTCAGCATTGAAGATGGAGGCACAGTGTTTTTCTGAACTACATGCCATCACAACTCAGAAGACCATACTCTGTGTCAGAACAGTAAACACACTGGTGTTTGTTTGTGGTGAAAACTACAGGTCTTATGAACATTTCTACCATCTAATAACTTCATATTAATATTGACCAAGTGAGCCAGAAAATGAGAAATGAATTTCATTTCACATGAGGTAATCATTGAGACAGATTAATAAAAACACCTAAAAGATCTTAACTTGAATTCAGGGTACAAATTTTCACACAATTATTTGTATATCAACCTTACTTAAAAAAATACTGTTTGTCTGAAGTATTTATCAGTGGTCATATAAATGCAAATATTTTGCAAAAGTATTTCAATAATATAAAATTTTAATAACAAATTACTATTAGTTCTTTTCGAGTTCTTTGAAACTCTACATCCTTTTATACACAGCAATAAAAGGATCTCGCATGTGATCAAAGTATCATTCATATTTCACTGGATATGAATCACACATTCTCACCATGCAAAACCTTTTACTGACAATTTCATTCTTGTAGCATTTTTAATCCTTAAAATTAAAATAAAAATATCAATTCAAACTGAGGAATAGAATGATTAATGAATTACTGCCATACTAAATAAAATACATCACAATTTTTTGTTGACTTGTCAGTACTGTTGATTCTCTCTGCGAAACCACTTATTTATCCGCTAGACTCACATTCTTACATTTCACTTCAATGCTAATAAATCTGCTGCTGATGAAGAAACAATTTATGGAAGTAGTAAATGCAATCTCGTTTCCATACAGCATCTAAGTGAGCTATACATGTTTGGAATTTATGGAAATTTGTCTGCCGTGTTGTATTATAGTGTGATGTGACAGCACAACACTCGGTAAACACCCCGCCCCCGTCCCCCGTGGTTGCTATGCAGCAATAAACAACTCGGCAGCGCTGCCCAGCAATGCCTTTGTAAACTCAGTGGGAAGTCCGTGCAATGACTGTTGCTAGGCAGTCGGTAAACACGACGTCACACAAGAGTGAAAGCTATCACATAACTGTTTTCTGTGTTGTCCATGCCAAAGCTAAATAAGGAGCAGCAAACACTATTCAGTAGTTAGTGATTAGTTAGCGAGCCGTGTTGTATTGAATGCATGGCGGTGTCTCCAGCAGGAGAAGTATTTGTGATACTGCAGATGGCAGTAGTTGAGAAACTGTAAATGGTGTGATTGTAAGAGCGAGTGGAATATATTCGCTATATCCAATACGGCGTGAAGTTATTTGTCGCGTTATACACCCAACACGTGACAATATATTAGTTCTGCTGTAAATACGATACCACAATTAATGCTCTTTTGTTCAGATTGTTTCCTGTGTAGTACCTTTTCCTGGCTTTCAAATATTTTAGAAACATCTTATGAGAAGGTTAAAAAGAAAGTGAAGCTATCCCTGTAACAAGCCAAGTCAGCTCACAGATCACAGATGGCAGTAAGGCTGCCAGCCTTATGTGCCGACTGCCCTTTATGTCTTACAAGAACCTAGGTTTTTTGGAACACTTTGTAAAACATTAAAAATCTCCAGCAACAACACTGAAAATATTGAGAACAAAATTTCACAAACAGTTTTATGTCCCATTATAGTAAAACAAAGAAAACCCTCACCATTCAGACGTATTACCATGTGCTATTTTAACACATTTCATGCCAGTTATTATCTAAGTACTAAAGGTGGATAGTGGCAAAGAGCGGGGCAGCATAACGTCATCGAGCAGTAGGAGCAGACCATACTGCTGGTGGGTAAAATATGGAAAGCTGCCATTTGCCTTTTAGTACTCAGCCCGACAGTAGTCAGGCGCAGTTCAGTTCCTGTCAGCTGACTATTTTACCCAAACTCTTGCCAATTTGCAGAGTGAGAGAGAGGGTAAAAGAGCCAAGAGGCTTTTAAATATTTTATGCAATTTACTGGCAAGGTGATACAACTATGAAGTATGCAACACAAGGCCAGATAGCTATCAGTATAGTGTTCACTGAGAAATGCTGAAGGGCAGAATTCATTATGAATGGCAATCTCCAGGAGAACAGAATAGGAATTCCAGAGATACCTGGGAATGGCAGAAAATGTGTTAACAGTGTCATTATCTTTTTGGTTTTGTGTGTGTATGTTGCTTATTTGTATCAAAATCAAGAGTGAACATAAAAACGGAATGATGTGCAAGTTTTGTTGCTTCACTATTATATCTGTAAGAAGAGACCAGCTGATGAAATATTGTCCCCACCACCTGCTGTCTGATAGGCCTCTGTACATACTAACACAGGTGCCACACATATCTCTACAGTAAACCTGTTGTGTGATCTTCCATTCAGTTCCTCATCCCAACAAGATACAGGCTGTTCCACATCTAAAGGTACACGTCTGCTTCCTGCTGCAATAGAGGTTGAGAAGCTATCATCCATTATCAGCTTTGCTTTCTCGATGTCAACCTGGAATAAGACATTGCCAGAATATGACACTAAAGAAACTCAAGATGCATGTCAAGCTGTGTAGTCTGATAGATGTTTACATATGTTTCAGAGGAACATACTGCCTCCATCTTCAGGGTCACAGAATATGACAAGCCATCATGGTAACTGGTACCACTGAAATACAAAGCAGGAGTACTAATTACTTAAATGATCATGACATTTAGTATTAAATATTAGGTTTGAAATCATCTGGTCATGTCACATGTTTGTAACTAGACACTGGGTTTGGATTGATTAAATGGATTTATTGAATGCTTAGACTTGCAACTGCAAACGATTATAACACTTGCATTAATCTACATACTCTACACATCACTACAGGGCACACAAAGTATTGTGACATGTCGCGCTAGCTGGACCCCCCCCCGGAGCTGATGCGCCGAGCGGAGCCGAAGTTAGCCGAGTCCCAGCGTCCTGGTAGCTATGCAACGCGAGTCAACACCGGTGATGTAAGACGGCGTGAGGTAACAGCGTTACTAGGCTATACGCAGACACTGTTACGTGGCATGCAACGACGCTGTTGACGCGGCCAACAGGTAACAGCGAACGGAACATAAGCCGGCTGAGCGGCAAGCGAGAGCCAGTGTGTGATCAACAGTTCTCAAGGCAGCAGCCTACAAGTTGAGTTGAAATACAGCCGTCAACGGAGACAGTAAAAGTGTGATAATCAGTGACAGTTTGTGATAACTGAGAATTAATTGGGAGTGTGTAACACAGTGACACTTGTATACCTCCCGTACTGTGAAACGTGTAGTCTACTGACGATAGCGTGATTTGATTTGCGAATAGGGTTATAAATTGTGAAACCCCGCAATATTGTTATAATTAATTGTAGCCGAGATTTGTAGGTTGTTAAATAAACCAATTAACGATCTCTACGGCGCATTCAGTAATGCAGCACGTTACAGTATTTTCACTCTGTCATTTCTTGACCAGTTGTTGCTAGGTAGCAGCTTCGAACAGTGGACAGTCCTTTGCTCATGGCTACCAACAAACTACTAGTGCTGACTCACTAACTTATCCTGCTGGTCACAACATATAACAGTTACTTAACTTCCCATTGACATTTCACAACACACATACCTCTTTTGAGCCACAAACATGTCTATTGGCTGTAAGGGAGGCTTTGGCTGCAGCTGCCTTTGAATTTTTCCATGGTGAATTCTTCACAGTAAGGATAGCCTGGTATGCCAGTGTATGAACATGCAGTCTTGTTAGCTGACGACTGTTCTCCTTCATCACTCTGTTTCTTGATTCCAAACTTAAAAAAAAAGAGTAAATGTTTTGTTTTTTAACCAAGACCTTATAAAGAACACACAGATAGGATGAAACTTGTTAAATACTCTCACCAATGTGTATGGCAGCTACTTGTGTTACATGATGTGCAAGTACTGCAGCATAGTTTCAGCATACAATTCAACTCCTCAATCCCAGTCTTTTCAATTACATGAATACACTAATTTCCTAATTCAGGCGTCATTCCTTGAGTAAAGTTGCAGCTGCCAGGTGTATACATATTATGAAAATGACAAGGAAAGTGACTGTATCCTGTGTGAAAAACAACAGTCCACTACCTTTCTTGGTTAGCCAAGATAGTGTAGTCAGTATAGTGACTGGATAAGGGCTGGACAACCAAGGGGCCATAGTTCGAGTGCCAGTAGGGTCAAGAATATTGTCTTCTCCATGTTGTCCAAACTGGCTCTGGGGCCCACCCAGTCTCCTATCCAGTAGGTACCAGGGGTACCCTGAGTGTAAAGCAGCTGGGGTGTGAAGCTGACCACTCACCTCCAACTACAGCCGAGGTCAAGAAAATGTGGATCTATACATAGACTCCCCCATATGCCTTCATGGTGTACTGCTTAATTAGTTAAGCGCTGGGACAACTTTACCATACCTTTTACCACTGTCCTTCTTGGATGCACCCAAGGTACTTACTATCTTGATATGTGCCTAATTGGTCCAGTGAGTGATGTGTGACTGAATTATGGAATATTTTTGCCCATACGCAATGATGCATCTTTAATACGATACAGAGAAACTGCCTTTAATTACTGATTTCCCCCTCAATTTATTAGTTAAAGAATATGTATAATTTTCTTTACTCTAGTTAGTTTTTCTCTTGTACATACACTGTAAAGGTAATAATGCTACTCTATGCACATGCCATAAAAGCATATAAGAACACTGCAGAGGTAAAACCAGATGAATTTCAGATTTCAGAACTAAATAAATGGGGATGAGTGATAAGCCTAATGCTTCTGTTATTTAACCACTGGAGGGGATTTCCCAAACGTAGTGAAAGGAAAGCTAGGTGGGTTCAAGTGAAAATCTGGATATGATGCTTAAGAGAAAAGTCTCTGCTTCTGATAAGAATCAAATCTTGGCCATTTAGTTCATGGCATTTTACTAACACAATTATCCTGACTTACATGCACCAATACAGTGAAATCGCCATTTCAGGTTTTCTTTGAGTAGCACTTGATCTGAACAATAGCCTGGGGAAAAACTTACATACAGCAGATTGAACAGTGAGATTATTGTCCTTGGGTCTCAGAAACTGAATGTTAAATGAGGGAAAAACGTAAACTGAGGAATATTAAATGGCGATTCCACTGTCATATGATGAACTTACTGAAAAATCTCTCTCATCTGATCAAGGACTGTTGCTACACGCGGGTTGGAGTCTGACACAAAGCTGATGTTGCCATACATCATCATATTATACAGGTTGGCCAACTCCTGGAAATACAGTTTAAATTAATATACACAACATTACTTTTATAAATACCAGAGAGGCTTACAAATATCAGGGGATTTTGATTCTGATGTAAAATCATTTCTGTCCTTCTTAATTCAAACTGCATTATCCTTAGTACTTCATCGTTCACATTAGTTTATTTACTGTCACTTCTTCAGTTCCATAGGTTATGTAGCATCAAATGGAAATTCGCTTAGTGGGGGGTTGAGTCCAACTGGGTCCACTCAGCACAGTGGCCACTGACTGGCCTATTGTAGCCTGCCCCAGGTGATTATGATGATGGAGAATTTGGTGGAATGAAGACTGGCTGGGGAAGCCGAAGTACTCAGAGAAAACCTGCCCCAGCGCCACTCTGTCCACCACAAATCCCACTGACCAGACACGGGATCAAACCTGGGCAGCCGTGGTGGGAAGTCAGTGACTAACTGCTTGAGCTATGGCGAGGCCGCAGCATCAAATGGCAGGAAGGTCTATAAGTGAAAAACTGAAAACGATCTGTATGGAAGTCAGTTTCAAGGTCCTATCCCAGCATGTATGGAACAGAGTTTTCTTGGTTTTGATGCTGTGTAGTCCAGTAAGTAGGTGCCATAGTTCTGAAGGAAGATACTGCCTCAATCTCCACTCACACCTTAAAAATGAAGGCATTATCTTCTTCTGAAATGTTTGTAACAATCTACCAAGCCACTGGTATCACAATGCAGAAGACTACAATATGAATATTCACTGCTATACAAACTTATAATCTTATTATTATTATTATTATTATTTTATTTTATAATAATAATTAATAATAATACATACATAGCTGAATATTTTAGCTCTTGTATTACGAATAAACTATACTCAATCTGTTTCCTTCACCTGTTCATTCATTCCAAGTGAATCAGCATACGGTGTTATATATTGTGCAAGCTGATGGAGTAATTCAGCTTCTGCAAATGATGCCATTTCAAAGTGAACTCTTGTACTGGGCAACTGTGCCACCATTTGGTCTCGAATCTTTAATAGCCTTTGTTCTCGTACACCTGAAAAGGAAAATATGTTGCTCCCAAACTAATCCTTGTGTAAGTATAATAGAACTCTCGTTTAAGGTTTCTTCTGGGAGCAGTGGGTGTGAACAGTAAACTGATGAAAATCTTAAACTGGAGAAACTCAACATAGATATTATTGGCTTCAGATCGTCAAATCTGAATGTTAAATAAGTGAAAGTCTTAATCAAGGTACATTAAATGGGGGTTCCACTATATGGAAGAAAATGTAAGTAACTTCTGGAAGTACTTAAAACAAATTCGTTTCTCTCTGAACTGCCAATAACTTGATGACCACATGCATAGCATGTCAGAAATGTGTACATAAAATAAAACAGGGGCAATAAAATTAAAATACACCCTCACATTTTCAATTTGTCCTTGAAAGAGTTTACTTATGTCATTGGACATGCAATTATGTTTCTATTTGAGTCTCAACATTCTGCTATGCTATATAATATCACTTATTTTTCATATAACAATCGGCACACAAAAACAGATTGAAGTAAATTCTAAACACTTCTGACAATGGTGTTTAACACTTGGGATTACTGGGATTTTGGACTTTGTACATCATCTGATATCTAAAGAACGCATTTCAGAAACTGAATCCATTTCTGTCCTCAGCGGAGAGGGTTACCAGATGATGAAAATTTATAAATAACATCACAATATTCTTACCAATTAATAAATATATATGAAAATGTTTATAATTATGTATATCATACCTTTGGGATATGGATAATTATCCATCATCTGTAAGCCACTGATCACCAGTAAGTTAGGGTTAAATTCCTTTAGCAATTGATCAAATTCTTCCAGTGAACTCACCAGAGGATTGTTATGATCATTATGTACAATAAACCTATAAAAGAGAGCATTATTATGTATACTAAACCCATAATAAAGGTTATGGCATATTACTGAGGTTCAACACAACAAAACAATTAGTTACCACATCTCTTAATTAAGTTACAGATCTCTTTAACAAAGAGGTACCAAACGCTAATAGCTATACCTATTGGCACGTGGTGACCTGTAGATACCCCAATCTTCATCCTCTTTGTATTCCAAGATCAAATGGACGTCATCTTTCTTAATGTCACGTCCTACCACTGTTAAAATATATGGAGTTAGGGTTAATGAACAAACATTAGATCAGTGACCTCCAACCTACAGCTCATGAACAAACAGTGAACACTGAAATTGTAAGCAGAATTTCAGATTTGAAATACATAAATTTAATGGGGCTTGCAATTGTAATTTTCATACACCTTATTTCTTCTGTATCTAACTTTGAAGCTAGGCCCTGCCATTGCTCAAGCGGTTAGTCGCTGGCTTCCCACCGCGGCAACCCGGGTTCGATCCCCAGTCTGGTCAAGTGGGATTTATGGTGGACAAAGTGGCACTGGGGCAGCTTTTCTCCGACTACTTCAGTTTCCCTTGCCAATCTTCATTCCACCAATTGCTCCACAGTCACCCTCACCTATCATCTGGGGCTGGTACGCTACAGTACAAGGCACTTAGTCCCACCCCACCAGCAATAAAAAAAAAACAATAAAACTCTGAAGCTTACTGTCTTCTGGGATGTGACACTGTGTTCTCTGGTATATCATTATCAACATTTCAGAGTAACCTGTTGTCTCCATTCAGGGAAGAAGAGTAGAAATGAAGATGGAGGCACTACGTTGAACCCGTGACCTTCCAGCTTGTAGGATAGTGCCTCAACCAACTACGCTATCGCGTGCCCCCCGTAACTTTACTGTCGGGCATATTAACCCTCTGAATGCCTGGTCCCATCACAGAATGACTTGCTAGAAATGCTAAGACTGCTTGGGTGTAAATGCAGTTGTGCAGAAAAATTCACAATACTTCCTCTGGTTACCTTCACATGACTCCAAGTAAAGAAAGTTTCAACACCGATTATTTTCACTAAAAGTCATCAAATCACATTTGATGAATTTGCTGCCAGAAATGCTGTATTAAGTGATTAACATCAAGCTAATCTCTATAGCTAAATACTATTTTGAGACCTGAATTGTAAACGGAGTCACATTTCTCAAGTTCTATTTTATTCAGCTGTTTAACTTCATTAATTTCATGGTAATGCATTGTAACAAGTAGCATAGGTTTTTGCTGCTCTTCAAATAAGAAGCAAGGGGGGGGGACATGGGTATTTATGTGTTAATGGGTGACCCATATAACTTCAAAATTTACTGCCACATTGTCCACCTCATTAGAATTGCCAACCTTATAAGTTTATTTGTAAAAACAAAACCAAGAGCCTAACCTTCTGAACTTCATACTGGGGGGAAAATTCTAAGGTTACACTTCAGGTTTAGTTTTTAGAAAATAAACTTTTAAGGTTTGCAACATAAATGTGACAGGGAACAAGCCACTAAATCTTTTTTAAGTTATTTGCGTTACCCACTAATATGTTAAGTACCAACAACCGTTCTAATTTTATGCAGTGAATTACAAAATTTATAAACATTATGACTGTTCATGAGATGAGGTTGGAGAAGCATTATAAAGTCATGCTTCACAGTCACAAAACACAAGCATGTTTTATACACATACACAAACATAAACATGTATTAATATGCACAATTCAGAAAGCTGATCCACAACTAAGATGTTTAATCTGGTATCACAATTATAGAATAGAAATGTAAAGCAATTCTTGTAACAGACCAGGGAGGCCCATAGGTTTGTGAGATGTCAAGGCCCCACATTTCCTAGACAGTCAGTTCACAGATGGTGGTGAATGTGCCATACTTACATGCTGGCTGCCCTTTACCCCTAGGAAGATTCCTGATACTCATTTCTGTTAGAGTCTGAGTCTACCCCAGGGCCATAGTGCGGCTGGAAGGTCAATTGAAAAATCCAATGACCTCATTGGGAATCTAACCTGCAACCTTCCAGCTTGTAGCATAGTGCCTCAACCAACTATGCTACCGAGTGTCCCCTACATTCATAGCATAGGTACAGGTTAGTCTATCAGAATTCACTACAAACCCTGGCTTCCAGATGGAAATGAATTAATGAAACAGCAAAATTCTGTTCAAGATGAACAATAAGGAGTTTAAAAATAAGAATTTTATGCGAGATTTAAGTTTTCAAGGCAGTAACTGTGAGGATGTGAGGAGTAACTGGAATGTGATACTATATGGGACAACAGAAGTTTACTGTTGCTTTGGAGGAACATACTTCCTCAGTTGTCTGGGTCAAACAGTAAGCCAAGCAAGCAGTCTGCCACATTTACACTCTCACATACAGAACAAATTCAAAGAAGGATACTCTGCTAACTTGCCTCTAACTCCTTTTGGAAGAGATTCCTGTAATTTTGGTGTCATCTTTGCTGCCAGCAGGACCTCACAACCTTCCAGAAAAAACCTCTTTGCCATAACTGGGGCATTTCCACCAAGAGCAAAATGTGAGCCTTCAATGCGGGAAGCAATATCCACGATTGCATCAAACAGCGTGTCATTAGAGATGTACCTCCTAGAATTGGTTATACTAGATTAATCTTGACTTTAAGCTACAATCCTTTAATGACAGGGCTATTATAAATGATCTGAGTGATAAGAAATTAATATATGGATACAAACATAAAACAATTTGAAAACTGCATGGAAACTCATAAAGTTTTATCTAGAGATGTTAAATATGTGCAACATTAGTTTCTCTGTGAACTTCACTGCAATATTTAAATTCTTCCCACATATGCCACAACTGTACCTCACTGCCACTGGCTATGTTAAATATGTGCACCATCAGGTTCTCTGTGAACTTCACTGCAATATTTAAATTCTTCCCACATATGCCACAACTATAGCTCACTGCCACTGGCTATGACCTGTGAAATTCACTCTCAAAGGGACTGTGGCACTGGTGGTTGGTATACCTGGTTTTTCACATATCTCCATATGTAGATGTTGCATGGAGTATGGTTCAGGAATCTAGAGGGAAGTCTCACTCATCTAATCTCTTGAAAGCACACATGACATTGTGCCTTTTGCAACTGAGATGCCATTTCCCTTTGACAGTGATCAGAGCACCACTCAGGGCTGATATATTAAAATCAATGTTGCCAACAAAAATTTGTTTCATATTTGTATCTGTAACCATCAAAAAGTACACTGAATTCTTATCACCCATTACTTATAGATTACTTAACCCTTCAACCGCTCAATTTCTTCTAAATCTCTCTTTCTTTTTCCTGTTGCTCTCACTTTGGAGCATAGGGCATCTGTGATGTGCTTTGTTTCACTTCAGTTTCTTAATCCAAAGGCAGTTGGTAGGACTACCTGGATGGGGTATTGGCCTGTCACAAGGCCACTACCTACACAGGACAACAAAGAATAAACACAGACAGACATCCATGCCTTGAATGGAATTTGAACCCACAATCCCAGTGTTTGAGCGTGCGAAGACAGTTCATGCCTTAGACTGCGCAGCCACTGTGACTGGTCAAGTCAAAGTCAAAGTTACTTTGCAATGGTGGTTTACCACTGAACCCTTGTGGTAATTGTCTTTATGTAACATCCTCTCTGACGAGAAGATGGGCTGGTCTCTTATGAATATGCTTGGCCTTTCATCAAGCATACATATTGGACATATAGCATGTTACTGAAAATTCTTCCTTTTGCACTGTATGCAAGTTCTCAGTCAGTACAGGCTTTGCACAGATCATCATGCCTATCTTACATGTATTATGGTACAATGGCAGCTTAGTCACCTGAATGGTCGGAAGCTTCACCACCAGCAAGTTTAAGCCTCTTATATTTTAAATTTCTTCTATCTTCTTCTTCTAAATACTATATAAAAATTCAGCCTGTACCTCACAGGAAACACATTACATCTCTGCTACAAGGATCAACCCGTTAATGCTGTTTAGAGAAATAATCGCTGTTTACTGTGAGAATCATAGGGAACACATAAATACACTGTGTGGGCAGAATGCATTACATATAAATTCAGTCCGTACCTCACAGGAAACACATTATGTCTCCGCTACAAAGCCCAACTGGTTAATGCTCATGATTTGTTTAATCCGTCTTGCAGTGCGTACACTTATCTATCTTCTTCTCTCACTCGCACTACATGTTTCGGCATAAGAATGCCATCTTCAGGTGCTACTCAATTCACGTCAAACTAGTACATTGTATGCCTTGTCTTCACTTTAAAATAACTAAAATATATGTCCATCATATATGTTGACAAATGTCAATCGTAAAAATATTAAAACTGTTCAGGATTCCCGATCGCTACGTCATATCTTATTACACCAGTCATGCTCATCCTACTCTGTTTGAGCTCTTCTTCCTTATCATGTGTATTGTGTTTCTGTTGCGTCTTGTTCTCGCGACTGCGTGCGTTATGCTGTTGGGTCTGCTGGGTATGTGTGTGTGTTGACATTTGTCAACATATATGATGGACATATATTTTAGTTATTTTAAAGTGAAGACAAGGCATACAATGTACTAGTTTGACGTGAATTGAGTAGCACCTGAAGATGGCATTTTTATGCCGAAACATGTAGTGCGAGTGAGAGAAGAAGATAGATAAGTGTACGCACTGCAAGACGGATTAAACAAATCATGAACTTAAATCAGTGCAACAGGACGCTAAAATATAACATGGTTAATGCTGTTTAGGGAAATAATTGCTCTTTATTGTGAGAAGCATAGGAATCACAGATTCACTCTGTGGGCAGAATGTGATTTTTACTATGTTAAACCATATGGTATATATAGTAACCACTTGGCTTTAAAGGGTTAATGACTCATTATCCTTATCTTAATGACTCACAGAATTACTAGGGGTTCGGACTTTTCCCATTGTCCGGAATTCTAGGAAATAGAAAACAAGACATTTTGGAAAGAGATCCAGTTTCCTAAATGTCTTGTTTTCTATTTTCTAGAATTCCAGATGATGGATAAAGTCCAAAACCTCAGTAATTCTGTGTGTATCCACCATTGTCAGAACCCTTTAGAGTCTATTTAATATCTCATATCAAAGAACCACTATGAGTATATTTAGATGGAACTGGAAAGCCTCAATTATGACAGCAATATTCGATCCTAAATTTTAAGACTCTATGGAATGCATCTACATCTATATATGTAATGAGATAGTTACTGCTAAGTTGATCTGCTCAGTGTCATGTTTATACAGAAAATATTCTCTATGCAGTATATTGTGATATGCATTGATCAACAGCATTAGTAAAGATTGTGCTCTTCTGGGTTATGACTCCATGCAGTCTGGTAGATGGTTACCAAAGTTATCTGCTACCCTGCAGAAAAAGATAGCATGTTCTGACAACATATCTTACAATCCAAAAGACCACAATCTAAATCTCCACTGTCATGAAAACCTCAAATCTCTTACAGTGTGAGTTCAGTTGGGATGGTTTGTATGGAGAAAAAACAGTAACCCTAAATGGAACATAATTTCTGTGACATACTGGAGGGGCTGAGAGATTATGGCAGGATAGATAAACTTCACGTTCAGCAAATGTACATGGTCAAAGTATTGCAAAATTGTTCCCCATGTGTTACTGAGAGAGCGAGAAGGGTTTGGTACTTACTCTGCTGCAGCTCCATGACGAAAAAAGTATGCATACGTTTTCAGGAGCTCCTCCGTTGAACTTATTTCATTGAAATGTTCTGGACTTTCTGCTACAGCGTCATACTTCAATAATTCTTTTCCATCGATGAATAGGTCATTGCAGGCGCCATAACCTACAGCAACTTTTGGTCTTGTATCCACAGAACACTGCTTTTCAACCTTCACTAACCCTTCAAGAATTGAATTCAATCTGTCTTTCAACACATCGTCCACTTGCCTTCTATAAAATAAGGCTATAATAACAAATAAAACAGAAATAAAAGTTCCTGCCTTAACAGTATTGGAAGTCATCGTTAGCGATTTCTTTAACCACTATCAAATCGTACAACACACTCTGCCAAGTACGAACCACGTATTATGACCTTGTATGCCGTCTTATGTAATTACACTGGCTATTCTTATCACAGATATGAAAGCAATACAAGGATAACTCCTGTCGTGAAATAAGACCTCGTGGCATATTCTTGCGACGTCACTTTATTACTGAACGATGTAACTACAACACAAAACGCTGAACACATTGTTTCACACTCGGTCCTTTCGTGTTAACAACCTTCATTCAACATTACGTTTCCAAGCAACGAACCTTCAGTGTAGGTTGGCCATTTTCCGGGATAACGTCGTTTACGATCGTTACTGACTGGAAAATAACACTCAACAACTGGTAGAGCAAACGCCATGCAGGTTATGCAGTCATGGATCATAAGTCAAGGAATTAAAGGGAAAGCTTGGGATGTGGCGCCGAGCCGTCAGTTAACACAACATGTACACGGTGCCACATCCCAGAAAACTGCTTTCTTCAAAAGAGAAAGATCTCTCAATTGCTCACAACTCCATCCTTGGATCCTTGGCATCCTTGATTTTTCATTTCTGCATATCATAACTCGAATCAATAAGAGGGGGAAAACTGCGCATTCTACCGGTGTTACAATTACTTTTCGGCAGTAGTGCGCAAACCAATGTAGTTCTAGAAAACAGACAACAGATGACAATATTCACTACAATGACAAGGTCACCTCGCAAATAGATGACTAATTGTACTTTTGTATTTACAGAAAAGGAGAACGAAAGAAATGTATCATGTTTGAGCCGGTGTGGAAAGAAGCTGATAAAGTAATACAATATATGCCCACGGTAAAGAAGGTGTATGATGTATGTATAGAACGTATAGAAGGCCATGGAAAATGAAACCATGGGTTGACAGGGAGGTGTGGTATGTTAAAATGACCACTGTGCTGAATAATTAGTAGTAATATTGTTATGAGATTTATTTTTAAAACTGATACATAATTATAACTACAGCAGAACAAGCCTTGAGATTTTAAAGTAATGCCACAGAAGAGACTAATTTGATGTTGTGAAGCGAGTGTACAAATTTGAATAAAGCTGAATTGAAAATACAATTTAAAATAAGAAAAACAACTAACTGAATAAAATTCATAGTGACAACGTCAGTCCGAGTGCTCATGTGAGTTGAAAAGTTCAGCTCTTGTAGTGCGCCAAAAATATGTGCAAGTGAGGTTATGTGTGCCATATATGTTTGACATGCAAACATATGTGCAGCTTATGACACTAATAAAATCGGCAGAGACTTTTTAGTGGAAGAGTGTACTCTAGTGAGAAAATGGCAGATAATTTGGAGCAGCAGTCTGAGTTATTTGGAGGCAGCGAAGATGCAAGTTCTATGTGTGATGAAGAAAGAGTTAGAAAACTTTTCCAAGCTTGTGATGGGGATGGAGATGGATATATTGACAGGTATGTAAGTTTATATTTGACCTTCTATTACTGTTTTTAAGTTTTGATAATTATGGTACTAGTGATAAGTATTTTTTCAGTCCAGGTCTGTAAATATTTCTGAAAGAGATTTGCTTGTCAACATTATCTGCAGAAGTAAATAAATTTGTAGGTCCTGTTCTTGTGATTCAGAGTTTTTTTGAGTAGTGTTGGTTTGATTCAGTGCTTCAGACTTTGTGTATATCACCTGGTACTGTTATGGTGATTAAAATGTGGAGGCTGTGAAGAGGTGCATCTTTACAATAGAGTGATTAGATGCATTAGGTAAGTTAAAATAGTTTCTGATTGATTATTACTAGTAAGTATGACCAAGTTCTGCTGATGTGTTAGGAGGATTAGGTTGTGTACATTGGCTTATTGTCTTAACTTCCTTACTGTTACTAGCTAAATGCTGGGTTAGAGATGAAGCTTCCAGCTGTAAAACCAAAAATATGACAGTGGCTCTGTCAGGGCTGTCACACGCTTCAGTGGGTGATGATGGACAAGTATAGAGCAATGGTTATATGATAATTAGCAGGGAGAAACTGAAGAAAATATGCTCCAGTGCCATTTTTTTTTACCACACAGCTTGCATAAAGTTCCCTGGGATGGACCCAGAGGCCCTGAAATAAGTAGCTAGCATTTGAATGCCTGAACAATGACATGGCCCATGTTTGGTCAGGTACTTCAGTAAAATCGAAATGTAAGTGTAGCTATGTGTGGTCACAGTATTGTATGGTTGTTTTGGGATGGATTACACATTTAGCATTTATTGCAGTTGTAAGAAATGTATACAGAAGTTTTAAATTATTATTATTATTATTATTATTATTATTATTGAATTACATTCCATTAATCCATACAAGGTCAAATGACCTATAGGATATAGAAACTGTCATTATAAATATAAAACAATAGTATAAGAGTAAATCTCATATACATGTCATAAATCTTACAGTAGCCATCTGAAACAATTTTACATAGAATTAATACAAATTTGGTAATAAAAGTAAATTACAACTATTAACTAAACAATGTAAAGGTATTCATTGGGAAGTTGTTTTGTAAAATTCATGAATGCTACAAAATGTATGTTCAATGAGATAGTTTCTCAGTAAAGATTGAATTGCTTAATGTCTTTAGATAACAATTTAATATTCAAAGGTAACTGATTATAAATCTTACTTCCAGAGAACAGCACTCCTTTTTGTACTATTGATAAATTTGTAGAGGGTAAGTATAAATTATAATTATAGCGGGTATTAATATCATAATGTAAAGTAATTTTTATTCTTAATAACGAAAAGAAGTAAGGAAAAAGTATGTTGAGACTGGAGTGGCAATATTTGTAATGTTTTTGAACAAATCCCGACATGAATCAAATTTGCCTGATCCAGACATAACTCTTATGATTCTTTTTTGAATTTTAAAGAGACTCATAGTAAGGGGGGCATTACCCCAAAAATAATGTCATACTTCAGTATAGAATGTACATAAGAGTAGTAAATCATCTTTATTGAATGTAATGATATAAAGGGCTTTATTACCCTTATTGAAAAACAAGCCGTATTTAATCTTGATGATAACACAGTAATATTATTCTTCCAAGACAGGGTGCTATCAATATTTATTCCCAAAAATTTAGAGCATTTGATGTTAGTAATTAATGAGTTGGTTAATGTAATTTGGATTTCTATTTCTCTATGCTTGTTTAAAAAGAATTGTAAGAAATGTGTTTTATCACAGTTTAGAGTTAAAGAGTTCCTATTTCATTAAAAACTGAAATAATATTACTTTTAAATTCTTCAGGACTCAAATTAGATATAATAATAGTGGGACCCTCAACGTCTCACAACCCTATGGGCCTTCATGGCCTGTTACAGGGATAGCTTTACTTTTACTTTTTACTTTATTTGTGTCATCCATAAATAATATAGGTTGAGTTAATTTCTTTAAGGAAAATGGGAAATCATTTATGTAAATAAGAAATAATAGTGGTGCCAATATAGATCCCTGTGGAACTCCATGTTTCACCTGCTCCCATTTTGAAAATACTTTATTAAGTTTAATATCTTTCATAATTGTTCTTTGATATCTGTTTTCAAGGTATGATGTCATTAATTTGATTGCTGTACCTGAGATTCCATAAAAGGGATATCTTATGGGAAGAGGCTATTTTGGAGCTGCACCCACCCCTCTCGATCACTCTAGCTCTTGTCAGTTTATGCAGAAACTTCTCAGGATTGCTATATGGGCAGTACTTACATTCATCTACTTCTGAAAAGTGCTGTTTGCCAAACCTGTCTGTGTGAAAGACGTGTGTATTGCTCTCCCTACCTCTCCATCCCTTCAGACTCTGAGCTGTGTGTTCAGCACATCTGTGATTTCACGTATATTGCTTCATAGACAAACCTTCCGCTCATTGTCTCTTCCTGTTATGCCAGATTGCTGCTAGTGCCATACCTTCCGGTCAGCAGATGCGCTCTCAGCTTTGTCATGTAATGCAGTAAAACACCAAATCTGTAGCTTCAATGTAATTTATTTCCTAATTGAATTGTTATGCATCACTGAGTTTAGTATGAGAAAAGATAGAATTTTTATGTGTTCAGAATGATTAAGGGGGAAAAATGTTAAGTTTTCCCTGTGCTTAATAAAATAAGCACCACGTCATGAAGATACATGGGAGAGTAGAGTTATAGCTCTGTAATTCTTGACCTTTGCACTAGATGGAGGCGAATGGTCAGTTTCATCCCCCTGTTACTTTACCCCTGGGAATAGAGCCCCTTGTGCGTACTCTATAGGAAGCTCGGGGGCCTCAGGGCCAGTCTGGATGTGGGAGACAAAAGAAGAATCTCTTTCCCCTGCTGAGAATCGAACACCAGTTCCTCGGTCATCCAGCCCATAGCTTCTCGCTAAACTACCAGAGTTATCCCAGAATACTTACTTAAATTGAATAATAAATTTAGATGTTATGTCCAGAGCACTGAAATTTTATGTCTTTCTAGTCTGGAGCCACATTTGTAACTGTAGGGATTAATTTCAAGAATAATATAAGGCTTGGGTGCATTTTAACATTCACTTTAATGTGTTATGCTGAAACAGCTGAATCAGACTGGGTATTGTATTGAACTGAAACCTGAACTCAAGTTGGCTAGTCATCAAAATAATGTTCAAAGCCACGATTAACCTTTATCGGAACCAATTTTTATGAAGGAAACATTTAGTAAAATATATCTCAAATTTGGAGGGGGTGGGCACTATGCTCCAAGAGGGAAGGTCACGGGTTCGATTCCCGATGAGGTCATTGGTTTTTACGATTGACCTCATCCTTCCAGCCTCACTGTGGATCTTGGATTGACTCAGCCTCTGACAGAAATGAGTACCAGGAATCTTCCTGGCGATAAAGGAAGGCCGGCACATAAGGCTGACCTCACCACCATCTGTGATCCGATTGTCTAGAAAATGTGAGAGCCTCAACATCTCACAACCCTATGGGCTTGTTAAAAGGATAGCTTTACCTTTTTTTTTCTCTCTCTCAAATTTGAGGGTTTGATGGCGGTGACTGTGATGATTATTGTTTTCTGGGATTTTACATTCTGTAGTTTAGTATTTTATTATTATTATTATTATTATTATTATTATTATTAGAGGGGGTGGGTTTCCCCATGCACTTAGACCAGTTATTTGTCCATTGTGCTTCCCCTTTAATTTCTACTGTCGCCATACCCTACCGGTACGGGTGCGTGCTATCAACCCCGTTCAGCCAACGAGGTCGGCCGTCGGTACCTGATATTTCCCCCCTCTTCTACAGGCATTGGAAACTACTTGGGCGGGAAATTGTTGCCTAATTTTGCTCAGAGGTCTCCTAGAGACATGAGGAGCTTTTACGTGCCGTAAATCTATGACACGGGACCCACGGAGGACTTGTTCCATGAATTTTTCCGCCCTTAAAAATTCCACGACCTCCGCCGGGTTTGAACCCGCGTACCTTGAGTCATGAGGTGGGAACGTTACCCCTAGACTACGGAGGCCGCTCTGTAGTTTAGTAGATTGGTGCCAACATTTTGTAGGAATATGCTACCTCAATCTTCATGGTAGAAAATGTACAACTCCTAGGTTTTGTGTTGTTGCCACATATAAATTTAATTCATTTCGTTTTGTTTTGAGAGCCGCTTTGTTTACGGGCTTAATAGAACCTTTACATGTGTATTTATATGTTTTTTAAAAGATTCTGATAAAATTTGATATAAACATTTCTTTCTGTAAGAGTAATATCACATATGACTTTCAATCACATTCATTCAAGATCTTTATTACACAAGAGAGCCCCAGGACTTACTGACTGACCGTCAGTCGCAGTGTGACTTTGACTTTGACTAAAATTCAGTCCTCGGTACTTTGACTACGAGTCATTCAGTTCTCGGTAGGAGGTAGCCACGGGAAGTTCGTAGTAGTAGAAGAAGAAGTAGGCTTAACATGTGATTTGAAGACTTTATATGTGCTGTAGTGCAGTGATGTCTGGAGTGTGACAGTTATAGATCCTGTTTTAAAATCCGCTGCCAGGAAACGGATATGGAAAACTTTGCAGAGGAATAGCCATTATTGAGATCTGTTACCTAGCAACGATTAGTGTAAGCAGATATAGAAGACTTTATTTATGTGTTACAATTACAGTAATCTTGGAAGTGTTATAATTAATTGTAGTTACGTCCTGTAAGTGGTCATTAAATCCAGTTACCAATCCGAACCCCGTCTTTAGTCGACGATACACGCGACAATATTTTACGATATTTAATTGAATTCGGCTCCTAATAAATCCTTTTTATTTACGCCGAATTGAATTTTGGATTCAGAGGAAGCTTATTTTTGTTCTAATAATATAAAATACTACAATAAAGGTACCACTCAGCGGATTTGCCTAGCGGTAAAGCTCTAGACTCGCATTCGGGATTTACTTTTTCAAAATAAAGAAAGTGGGTCAA